CAAACAGAAAAGAAATCTCGTTTGTAAAACTACTACCCAACACAATAAGTGGAATAAAATGGACATAAACCGACAACATGAAAAAGGTATAACTCACCACAACATCACAAGGACAGATGAACGCTCGTTGGGCACCATATATCCGTCACCAACTGCAACCCACCTTTCCTTAGATAATGTGATGAACTTGTATCCATAATGTTGCTGAGCAGTTAATATTCTCAACTCCTGTCGGAACAGCTGAAATTCATAAACCTTCCTAACGCTAAGAAAATACCCACAAGCAGTAGAAATCCATTAATTAATGCGTCCGAAGCTTATGCACTTACTCCCAACAATGACATTGCAGATCAAATGAGATAAACACATCACTGATTCCAAAATAACACATCCATGAACTATAATTCGAGGACTCTGCACACAACAAAGTTATGTATGAATATTTACTTCAAGCTTTATTTTTTTCCCAGGCACTTATAATCCATCCACCAAAGACCTGGTTTTTTTGTTAATGCGAAGACAATACTCCTGTATTTCCTGTTGTGTTGCACTCACTGACAATCTAGCAGATTTTTCCAACTTTGCACAGAAATGATTGTATATAAGTGAAAAGGCTGTTTTATACTACTGGGATTAACATTTATCAAGTGTATGTATAATCTCCAGCGAACATGTAAAGCATATCTTGCTACTGCCTGTAAATTGTGATTGAATTATATGGTTCTATTTCTGTAACAATTTGATGATGCCTGTAAACTGGCGTCCCTCATGTACTGTACTATGAGAATAAATTTATTTATTTATTTATGTGTTTGAGTTATGGTAGAAGATGCCCAGAGCTTTCGAGAAGTTATCATGCCGTCAAATTTAAATTTTAGGTGAAAAATATACGGCATGTCAATTTCCCGCTGGGATGATAAATGATTACGTTAGTAGTGAGAAGTAAGTAGCGTTTTAGTACAGGTGCTGAAGCGAAACATAAGGGATGCGGAATGAGCAATAATTATCAGTGAGTGATTACAGAGCTACCAGTGAACACCAACCCCCCGACGAAATCAGAAGTCCTGAAGGCAATCAAGATGCTAAAAGCTGGAAAAGCAGCAGGACCAGATGGAATCCCAGCAGAAGCATTGAAAACGGACCCAGAGACAACAGCGGACTTGATGACGCCACTACTGGAGAAGGTGTGGAAAGAAGGCAAAGTACCCGAGGATTGGAAGAAAGGATACTTATTCAAACTACTAAAGAAAGGAGACCTAAGTCAATGCAAGAACTGGCGCGGAATTATGCTCCTGTCCATCCCAAGCAAAATAATAAGCCGCATCATCCTGGAGAGAATCAAACATGCCACCGACAATTATACATCTCATCCAACAGCTATACGACAATGCTGCATGCCAAGTAATCCACAATGGGAAACTTACGGAACCCTTCGAAGTGAGGACAGGAGTAAGACAAGGCTGCCTACTATCGCCAATGATTTCCTTGATTGCAGTAGACTGGTTAATGCGACAGACAGCGGGCAATGAGGAAACAGGCATAAAATGGACCCTCACAAAAAAACTTGGAGGATCGCCGATGATATATGTCTGATTTCCCACAAACTGGAAGATATGCAAGTGAAAAGCAACAAGTTGGCAGAAGAAGCGTTGAGGAGAGAAAGGACTTCAGGTGAACATAGATAAAACAGAGGTGATGAAAATTCCTGGGCAACACCACCAACAGCAACAACAACAACAGACAACAATCAGCATAAATGGGAGGAACCTGAAAGAAACAACCTCCTTTACCTACCTGGGAAGCATCGTCTCAACTACAGGCGGACGCAACTGACGAGGATATCAAAGCAAGAATCGGAAAAGCAAGACAAGTTTTCACTACTCTCAAGTCTGTGTGGAGGTCAACAACATTCAGCATCAAAAATAAGATCCGGATTTTCAACTCCAATGTGAAGTCAGTGCTACTATACGGATCAGAGACTTGGCCAACGCGTCATAAAGAGCACCTCAAACAAACTACAGACCTTCATTAACAGTTGTCTTCACTCAATACTCAAGATCAGATGGCCGGCCAGAAAAGATCAGCAACAGGGATCTTTGGGAACGAACCAACCAGGAACCGATTGTGAAACAAATAGGTAGGAAGAAATGGAGATGGATTGGCCATACTCTTAGGAAACCATCAGGTGAGTGATATCACTAGACAAGCCATTGCTCGAGTGGAACCCGAAAGGGAAGTGGCGAGTTGGTCGTCAGTGCAAGGGTGACTTGGAGGAGGTCATGTGAAGAGGAGATGAAAACGTGTGGGCAGACTTGGAACCAGGTGAAGACTCTAGCAGAGAACCGAACGCAATGGAGACGCACGGCTGAAGCCCTATGTTCCTGTAGGAATTAAAGGATACAATAATAATAATACCTTCCATAAGTGCAGTTCGTATATTCAGCAGATCATCGTATGTTATCCGCTTCCTAAATCGTTTTGCGACATATTGAATAGCTGTTAACACTGGCTTTAACACAGACAATTCTAATTCACGTATCCGGGTCTAGTATATTAAGCTTTAACAACGATAGATAGTACTTATCTTTTGTAGGTTCCTGACTGCTTCCCCGTTTCTTTTGTCCCCAAAGACGCATACAAGCACAATATATTCATAATTCAGATGTGGTTCATTCTTATTTAGTTCGGGTTCTGTCACAACATACTAGGTGTTTATAATCTGAAATTAGGCACATTTGTGTTATACTCACTTTTCTGAAAAACTTCAAAGCTTTTTCAAGTTCAGCGCAGGTTCTAAGTTATCCAGGTCTAATACGTTCTTCGGAAACCTTACTAGTAACAACCCTAGCCGTGGTTTCTTCACCAGATTGACTCATAGATTGTTGCATATTAAAAACATCAACGTGAAGGACATTGTCTATTTTAGATTTCGGTGACTTTAAACTAAAGCAGCTCAAAACAAAACCACCTAGTGAACGGATTGATGACCTTGACGAATTTATGTGCATAAATTGGTTTAATTTAATTAGGAGGACTCCTGTGAGGAATTGGGGGTTTCCTGGAACATGCACAAGAACATTATCCCATGTAACTACTTTTCAACACTGCATTAATTGTACATAGACGTTTATTTCAAATTACGCACTTCTTCCAACCCATCTGACTGGCCGACAGAGGTGGTTTCGTTTTGGGCCGTTATGCTTTAGAGTCTCTTAGATTTCTTCAAATTAAGAAACGATTTGGACCCATCAACAATAGAGGCAAACAAAAAATGAACTATAAACAACAGCTTCTGCCACTAAAACACGTTCATACATAAAATTTCCAGAACTTGTTCATAGTGTTATTCCCTTGACAGCTGGGAAGTAACTGAAACACTGTAACAACGCGTGAAAGCAACCTATGAAACAATTACAATGAAGTGGAAGAACTGACCTGGTGGTGAAAACTTCCAAAACCAAACAATTAAATAATTTTAATGGCAATCAGACCAAAATGATGCTAAATGCAACATTTGTGAATAATCTGCATCAGGCTAAGCTGCGAATAACTGCGGAATAAACGTAAAAGCCAGGGCATGAACTAGTGGTTAGCATACAGCAATCCAACACCGCTGACTAACATGGAAAAAACTACCCTAACGTGCTTTATCCATTCAGTGACCTTGAGCATGAGGGATAAGTTCAGCCACTTCAAATAGCTGACTTGACAATGTACCGAACAAGTCCAGCAGTACATTTTGTTTTTGATCACAATACTTTTCTACGGTCACTGAGGACAAATCGCTGTCTAGGTAGGTGCATTTAGCCTAACTATTCATGAAATTACCCACCTGAATCACAGTGTTTCACAATACGATATTAGTCAAGGGAGACAGAAAAATAGCACTAAGAATATCTCAGTGGTGAAGTTCAACAATGGGTCCCAGGAGAGCGAACGCTCCACTGACCTTGGAAACATGCTAGTCGTTGGCTGACGGCACATGTCATTGTCATAGTTGAAATATCAACGCTATTCACGAACTAAGCAGAAAATTTCACACACATTACGTTTTTAAGTACTGTTTGTATAATGCATTAAAAGGTCGTTAGGGTTAGGATCAGGGTTAAGGTAAGTATTCGGGTAAGGGCTTTGATCAGGGTCATAATTGGCATTAGGGTTGGGATCAAGGTTAGAATTAGTGTTAGGTATAGCGTCAGGGTCAGGAATAAGGATAGAGTTAGATTTGATGTCATTTATTTTAATTTGTTTTATTGTCCAATTTTTTTGGTAAGCAGTCGTCGATCCCCATACTGGAAACCATACTAATTCAACCGAGGGTTTTCGAGGAATACCGTACAACAGAGTAAGAGAGATAGACGATTCACAAAAGCAGCTTATCTTCGGTTACCTCGATGGATACATGTACAAAAACTAGTGTAACTTAGCAACTGACACTCCTCATTATAACTGGGAAGTATTTTTAAGTCCTTTCAGAAAAAGATACCCTGTTTAATGTGTTTTCATGCATTTTCTTGTAAACATACTTCATTTTTGTGCAAATATTCCTCATTTTTATGATTGGTTCGCTGACGGGCATCCCTTGGGACGCTTTGCTGAACTTTGCCATCTCAGATACAGTGATGGATGAACTCTTACGACGTTACCGTTAGTTTTACCTTCCTCTCCTGATCAGTCACCAAGTTTCTCGAGCTTATATGGATAAGTAGTGACAATATTCCTCCAAGGACTATCTATCCAAAAATTCACTAAGACCACTCAGGTCGTCACTCACTACCGAATGTTGACACCAGTGAAGAGTACATACTTTAGGGAACTACCCATCTTGTAATAATAACCCAAGTAAAATGTCTAAGAATGAAAAAATAAAAACATGGTAACGTTTAAAACTTAAACTTGCTTACATTAGAAGAAAGCCTTGTATTTTCTACCAGAAAATGGAATATGAAGGTGAATTAAAACTTCCTGTAAAATTGAGGGAAAATTAACGATTGCGTTACTTTGTTGCATAATGGACAAGTATGCGACTGGTGTTGTTTCATTATCCTATTAGACATTATTATACATTTATTCACATTCATTATTTGTTCAATAAAATTTGGAAGTACATGTGAATGGGCCCAAAGTAGTAGTCTTATCGTCACCAATGAGTGAATTATGAAGCAGCCGTACGACTACGTAGTGTATGCTGATAGCATAATTTATCTGGTTAGCTCTGGTTAAGCCTCCACAAATGCTTGCATTTATTAATTGACCTAATTTTGGATTAATGGAATGAAATATCCTTGTGAATTGAATGTAGACCTCGCGCTCATTTGACACCATCAAGGTAATTGGTTTGGTGGAACCTAGTATATTTTTTATTACGTTTCACACAAATCTTACTTCTTGAAATAAACTCATCAATCACGCTAGAGTCGAGGCAGAAACAGTCCTACAACCACTAGTGCAATTATGACAATGAATGTTGGTGCTAAGCTTTGGTAACTATAAGACTAGTGTGAGGTTGGTCTTAGAGAAGTTACATGTTGTAGCACTAGTTTGTATTCTCTTTTAGGTGGAATGTAAGTCGTAAGAAGCGGAAAACAACAGGAAAGAATTATCTCTGAACATTAAATGAGTAGCATTAAGTTTGTAAATAATGTATACTCACAAAAGAATGTTAGGAATCACTTTCTTTTGTCCAGAGTGATTGAAGCTTTCCGGTCGAGTATGTCAATTAAATGGAGAATCATGTTGCTAGTTCCTGACCTGCAGTAAACTTTAATATCGTTTCGGAATTATTATCGATCTATTAGTGAAGTAAATTGTTTGAAGTAGTATTGTGTTTCCGTACTTTTGAGAAGATACTCCAAATGTTTTTACATTCAGCAGTTAAAGGGTTACTTTTAAATTGTTTTACTTCAACAGGTTTGAGATAGCTGATCGGACGATGTCTAACAATGTTTTATTTGAATATGATTTTTTACAAATAGGAATGCCATTACAAGTGTATAAAGTGAGTGACATGGTAATTCGTCATGAATTGCAAGCATTTGTCACTTTAACTAAAGGATTTTTTGTAGTGTATTTACTTTCCTACATTTAATTCCTTCGATTTACGCTCAGATCCTGTATAACGACACAAGCATACGAAATTTATCAGTTGTAAACTATGCAAGATTCATCTATACGATAACTTTCTGACTCGCTAGTATTTCTTCCATTTGATGTCACGTAAGAGCTAAGACTCCAAGGGAACTGAATTAGAAATTATCTCAGTATAATTTTCTAAATATCCTGTGGGCAATAAGGTAATCAAGGAATGTGGGACTATAATCTATCGTCTTCATAAGTATTTTGATCAATATATAATTTATAAGCCATAAATTCTGTATCTAAGTACAATGGTAATCAATTTATTGGCTCTCAAGTTCTTTTGTTTGCGTCTGATTGCATACGTGGATTCACAACTTATCGTTTTGTTATGATTTGGTTACCTGTTTATTTAATCGGATTATGTTCATTCGTACCAGGTGATAAACATCCAACATTGTTGTCAGATCCAGACAGAATCTCAATAGGAGGCAACTTTTGAGGACTTGGATGGCAGTTGAACTGCCAATGAATGTTTCTTCAATAAAGTCATTTTCCTGTAATTTAATTCAGTTGTAGTTTCATACCAGTCCCTGTAATCAACTTGTGTGGTTGTACTGTACTGCTTATATCCATTGCTTTTTTGGCATATGTTTAGCGTTATTTTGCCCATCACTACCTACTGTCACCTCATAGGCTTTGTAAATCTACACTTACGTTGTCTTTACTCCGTTGTTGTAGGGGATGGGGTAGGTGGATGTATTTTTATTCATGTTACTCTTGCGTAGTATTCAACCTGTCTTCGTAGTTGTTTACCTAACATAAGGATCAGCAGGTGATAATACGTGTTTGGTCTAAGTTATACGGAGGACAGTAAGCTTATGAGGAAACGTATTAGTTATGAATGTTGTTTAGTGTTTATAAAACATAATAATGTGTATTGATATTTTGTAGTCTGAGGTCAGGACTTAAAGTTTCAAGTTTAGTTATTACATCAGTATGGATAGATTTATCTCTTGTTTTGTTTTTGAAAATCAAGCACTGTATTATTGTCTGCTTCCTTGCTTTTCTTCCCTTACACCTGTTTTGCTTGGTGCTGAGATTTTTTTCAGTCTCGGTCCCACTAAGGTGGTAACTCTTGTGTGGTATTACATTTTTGTTTCGTAGTTCTCACGAAACTTTTCATGTTTGTTTTGGGATTTAACAATCGCTTGCATTTTTTCTGATACCGAATCTTTTCCGTATGTAAACTAACAGTTAATCTGACTATCGTAAAAACTTGCTTTTAGTCTTTTTTGTATCATTTATGTTTTATTTATGTAGGTCTATCATGCTATGAAGGCACTAGACATTACCATCAGACCTTGATCATAATTTGGATAACCGTATTTATCGGTGTGGAAATAATGGTTGAGTCTTTTATCGATGATTTTGCGAAAGTGAGTTTGGAGGAAAATGAATCTGAAGGATGGTCTCGTGTATGTTCTCGTAAAATGAGACGTAAATACAAAAATGTACAACCAGTTATGCATTCGATCGTTCATCGACAGAATGGATACAGCTTACATGTTAATATTTCTAATCTTATCGAAGATGATAACCTGGAAACACTCATGCAAAGGTTTGTTGGTATGCGATCCAACTTCCTACTTTCAAAGTCAAATAAGTCTTTCTTCGATTGTTTATTGCATTCTATTAATCAAGCATTTTCAATCATATCAAACGAACAGATTGGACCGGGGATGGTCGATGTTCTATGTTTAGGATTGGGCAGTCCAGCTGCAGATCGTGCCAGTTTGCATCAGTTAGTCGTATTAGATCTTCTGTTACAGGCTGACTCCCGATTGGATCGATCACGTACCTATTTATATGACCCTGTATTCAATTCTATCGTTCGAGAGTTGATACAAAAGCTTGGTATGAATGTAAGTAGATTCTTTTATCTAATAGGACTTTACAAATAACTTCTAAAATTTTGTATTTTGTTTTATGCTCGTTTGTATTTACAACGATATGAGTATTTCACGAGTTAGAATAACGGTCGAAGACGTGTGAAGGTGGAATTTTGTGCGGAAGTGCAGCATTTCAGGTTGCTGCATTCTCCATAGCCCACAAAGTTAAAGGAAAAATCCTAAGGAACTATAAGGAACGGAAATGTATGAGAGGAATAATAAGAACATAGAGAATAATGAGAATTTGATGGATCCAGGAGTTTACAAGTAGTTGTATTTTCACCACTAATAACGATTTTGAGCCATATCCCCAATACCCTCCAGCCATCGGTTCTTAACTTCTCGAGGACCTCAGCCAGACAGTCTGCACGAGCCTACTAGGCTCAGAGCAACAGTCGAAAACATCATGGATACATGTTAGTTTTCATTTTGACAATACGTGTTTCAAATCCTAATCTGATATCAGCTAACGTTGCATGACGAAGAAGGTGACGGATGGGCATGCTTAACACATGTCTTAGCCATCTCAGTCGATGTACCTTCACAACTTCATCCATTGACTTCCCCGTCTTACCTAACATTACTCATCATATTATACCGCTTAACACAAAGGATGGATCTCAAACACCTATGGTGGAAGACGACAAGCCTCTTTGAGTCTTCCTCTCTCATTGCCCACGGCTTATAGCTGTAAATGAGGGGTGGAGCGAACTGCTGTTCAATACACACATGCTTTGGTCGATATCTGGAAATCACATCCACACTGAAGATGACGTACGTTAGCAGATGCTACAGGTGCCTTTTGTATCCATGATGAGATTTTGTTGTGCTGCTGAGGCTGTGCGTTCCTCTAGGAACCCAAGGGAAGAATAATAACATTATTATTATAGTTTGTGAACTACATGGACATGAAGTCACAAATAGAATGCACCGAAAAGTCTAGTACTACCCTATAATCCACTTTTGCTTGAAATTTTTATAAGGACTTTATGTCAATTTTTAAACTTGGAACCAGGCAACTGGTTTGATGATTACAAATAGAACCTTCTAATCATCTTCGGATGACTTTATTTTATTTTATTATATTTAGATCATACCAGTAAATAAACAAGGCTGTTACAAACTATCTCCTGATCGATTTCATTTCATTATACTACCACATTGCGCTCCGACTCTTTTGAATAATTTATTGTGTACTAATTGGTCACCTAGTATATTATCTCGTTTAGTACTATTCTCTAATGGATGGAATGAAATTCGTCAAGAATTGATTGCTTCAGGTGAAACAAACAGTCAAATTGCAGATAAACTAGCTTATATTACTGCTCTTGAAACAGTAGTAGTTCAACTTCCCAATAAACAATATAGTTCTTGGGAATTTTTAAATAATAGACTTAAAGAATACAGAAATTTTGAATGCATGCGTGTACAGTGTTTTCCATTAAATGAAATAAATTGTTTACCAAAAACTACATGGAATATACCGCCTTATGCGGAAGACAAACAAATAAATGTGCCTTGTTCAACTTCATTAGTACCTGATGATCGATTTTCTTTGGATTTGATTAGTTCCAATATTGTACCAAATTTTATTGATACTCTTGATAAGAATGATAACACAAATCAGAAAAATGTTTGTAAATGAACTTTAACGCCTTGTTTTTTTCAAATTATTTCACTTAATAATTCAAAGCTGGTGTGTAAGTATTATTAATGTGTATTGTGATCTTGTTTATACATTGGGAATTTTTTGATGTTTGACTTTTGTACATAGTTTTGGTAATGTGTTATCTGTATTACGAAAAGACTGATCAAACTTAATTCGGACTGTGGTGAAATTATTATATTCAATTGGTTGTTATCAACTCGTATTTGTGTGAATAGAAATCGTCTTTAATTATTTCGGTTGTAAATATATTCAATTCACTGATTTAAATGCAGTTAGTGTTTTTTCTTAAATCTAAAGCAGTAGCTTCGTGATCAAGATTATTTTTCAAAAAATTAGCTCCTATTCAGATGACTAACTGGCAAATGAAAATGCTGTAGTAAGTAAACGTTTTCTGACAGTGAAAGTGTAACAGCAGAAGGCAAGACACGGAAGCCAAGGTAAATTTTCAAATGGTCGAACCGAATAGATATAAGTCTACTCAGTTTATATTTGTTAACCAGTCACTGAGCGTGTGATTTTGGTTTACATTAAGCGACATGAAATAGAATGTTCAAATTTAATTTTCGGATACTGTTGCTAATGCACTGTTGAGTGTGAGAATAATGTTCCGTTGGAAGCCATTGTGTGTATGACACCACCACAAAGGTTGTGCTTCATAAGTGTTGCGAAGAAAAATTAAATTCACAGTTTGGTTCTGTCATGTTCTTTTTTGGTATAAAATGGTTGAGATTACCAATATCCGGAGGGAGATATACGACTATTGGCGTATTTTAAGCAGTGGGCATTCTATTGTTACACTTTTAAAAGCAATTATGTCCTGACCCTTTGTAATCACTTTCATTTTCGAATGTACAGGAGTTGTGGCTCATTGGTCCGGGCTTCTAGGCAGTGGTTACGGCTTCGCGTTCCACTCCATCTACCGAGGTTTGGATTAGCCACGTAGTAATCACTAGTCTTCACACAGTATCTGTGGCTCATTGCCAACCGAATGGAGTAGCAGTTGGCTACTGAGTAGTACATGACACATCTAACTTCTTAAGATTTCGGTTGCAATCAATTTTTGTAATTTATTATTTCGGCGTATTTATTTTACGAAGCATTTTCCACCTACATGTGTATTCATTTCTGCCACAGAACACTCAATTAAGTCATAACCTGATGTTTATTAGTGATTGGCTTCAAGATAAATTTCTTAAAGCCACAGTGGGAAAGTGGGGTTGTTGAAGTTGAATTGTCTACGGAATTGATGCTGACTTGCCATGATTTCTTCGTTTTAAACTTCTAAAGACAGTGCAGGCCTTGGTCTTTCATGAATTCAAACCAGACCTTTAAGTGTAAAGGAAGTATGTTCAGTTCCTATTACTACCTTGGCCGCAGAGGGATTAACATTTATTTATTGTTCAGTTTGTTTATTTAATATTTGTACGTTTCCGTTACTACTATGATTGTCATTATTTTTGTTCCCACTCTAAACAGTTTCCGATATTATTTCATCTGTTGCAGTTATTACTTTATATCACCGTATTATTTTTTGCAATATTAAAATCTGTCTTATCAAACTTCTCACCATGTTATATAATGCTACTAATTCTACTAATTTCACATCCCTTTCCCAAGATCTGTACATTCCATGAAGTATTTTATGTATGAGATTATTTGTTTTTTCGCTTGATATTGAGCTCAGATTATAACCACAAACACAATATATTACATTTCAACATTGTTATTATAAGCATTTAAAACCTTTGTTTAAATTTCCTCACAGGATATAGTCTCCTAAAAGCTACATACACGATTGTACAGCTCGATAATAGATTTGTTGAAAAGAGTTTCTTCACTGAATATTGTTTCCTTAATGTTACACAGAGGATCGATAAACTGATTGGGACAAGTAGTTGCCTACCATTTACACTAAGCAGCAGTGCTTGCTAGACAGATCGAGGTGATCTAAACACCGGACGGTTGTTTCACTTGTCTGGGGCCGAGCTCATCGGCGGTGTACTTAGCTGGTTTGACCCAGCTCAGAGAGACAAATCAGTTCAAACCATCCGATTTCTGGTTAGTTACTCTATTGAACTGGTCAAGCTACAAATCAAATTCACAATTTGCAATTTACACAGTTCGAGTTCACCGTAGTAGTTTCCTTTGGAAACCAAGTTATTCCATTCCGAATAAGTAATCTGCTTGATACCATAAATGGTAATCAGATGGTTTGAACTGGTTCGGCTCTCTAAGCTCTCTGAGTCAAACCGGTTAGGTATACCGATGGATGGGATGGGCTTAGCCCCAAACGAGCGAAATGGTCGTCCGGTGTTTAGATCACCTCGTTCTGTCTAGCAAGCCCTACTGCTTGGTATGAGTGAGTGGTATGCGACTACTCATTCCAGTCAATCAGCAGTAGTACATATTTTTATGCAAATTTGCTTTCCTTCTTGATTACCCTCTATCGTATCATTCAGATCACAGTAATATTATGATCGGAATAATTTCGGTTTCTAAAGGAAACTACTACGGTGAAATTTCACCACTCGAACTGTGTAAACTGCAAATTGTCAGAGATATAATATGCAGATTGGAGGAGAAAGATCAGAGGTTTTGTATTATAAACATGAAAAGGTTTAACACTTTTGATCATTGTTTTTATGAAATCTTTGTTATTTCTTACATTTCGTTTTGTCGGAAAATTTGATTATAGAGAGTGTGCAAGCTGAGTGAAACAATTTCATTCGGTTTCATTACTTCTAACTAGTTACAAACCGTTTGAAGTAATTGAATATGACAAAAGAAGTTGAATAACATATTCTAACTTTTAAGAAAATTACATGTTTCATTTTAATGCCACTGTCAATTTATATACTATCAAATAGTAAGTTACATAGTTGTAAAGGGAGAATGCAAAAGAAAGGGGATACCTAACACTCCTCTAATAGGCAGTATAAGTTTATCCTTTGTTAGGCTTTTAGTCATTTAACTAGTCTCAAGGTATATTTCGTTTGGCATCGAAGCTAGTGGAGGAACCGTTGAACAGCTAGTTTGTCCTAGAGCACACCTATGACCTCCGGTTGTTTCAGGTGACGAAACGAAGGATATTTTGCTCACTAGAACAAATGATGCCTTACTCAGCGAAAGTTTACACAGGGATTTCAACATCTATAGGTCACTAAATACACTAAAGTATCAGTAGTTGATAGGTCAGTACATACTTGGTAATATACATATGCAGAACTTTGTTTTATGTTGTATCAAATGAACATATTGTTCCGGGGGATATGTTATTATCAGGATTGTGTATTTCATGAAGTGGACAGTTTAGCAATTTATAAACAATTTAAGTCTAAGGAGTGACATACCCCACAGTAGAATAATTTTTTGAAAATTCATAGGCCAGGGAACCAATTTAGATTGGCTTATTGGTAGATACCGATAAAATAGTTCGACAACGGTAAGACAGCGTTTAACCTGGGACAGAAACAATATCCGTTTTGAAAGTACATCGTTTGGGTTTACATTTCGACGACTAGTGACATTGTTTCGTAAGAATTTGAAGAATATGGCAGTGTACGTTGATGATTGTTATAACTGTAGTGAACTGAATAAACCCCGTAGCTACTTAGTTATGTCTACGCCTGTTAATTACTATGACAGTAATGAAGTCGACTGGTACACTAATGCGTCCATTTGCCCGTTGCACTTTCCGATTCACTGAGCTACGCAAGTTTATCATCCAGGGCTTGTTTGATTCTCTCCAGGATGATGTGGCTTAGTATTTTGCTTGGGATGGACAAGAGCATAATGCCGCGCCAAAATAATATAACGTAGTCTTTCTTTTGAGAAGCCCAGAAAAGAAAGAATAAGCCAGGCAGGACACATGAATTAATCCATTGTAAGTGAAGAGGTTGAGTTATTCCACAAAGTCTCAACTTGTCTATATAACAACTCAGACAAAAGGTTTTCTTAGAAATCACCAAGATATTATTTTTATTATTATTATTTTTTTGATTACAGCTTGATTTCAAACCGTAGTTTTTTGGTACAGGTATGGAATTTTCAGCATGTGATATCGGTAGCCCAAATTTTGCAGGCCGACCATAGATATCAGGTGTGCGTCGGCAGGGGATCGAACCCCGGACCATGTGCATGGTCAGCGAGAGTCCTAACCACTGTGCCATCAAAAAAAGGTTTTCTTAGAAATCACCAAGATATGAGACGACTAACAAAGATTTAAAAAGAAATTGACATGAACACTGGTAACATTCGATTTATTTCTTGTCATAGTAACTTTGACATTACAAGACTCATATTGAAACGGTAGAAGACGAAAGGTGTTGAGTAGTGAAAATTCAGTATCTGTATATAGCCAAATGATGTACACCTTATCTTCAACACACCATTTGCACAGATCTTCCCTAGTTGTGCTACTTCTGGAGTTCATGTTGCGTTTCTCTGTGTTCCTTTCATATCTCTCATGTTCCTCCGCAACGCTGACTCATTTACTTTGTCTGACGACAAAACTATCTCCCTATTATTTGATGTTTTTATGTCGATGAGCATCTCTTTATACTACTGATAAACCTTATCAGTAGCACACGCCACAATTAGACTGAATCAGTTCATACAACCCATACATTAGTCGGTCAGTTCTGCAGCCCTGTTTCTAAGCTAAGTAGTATAGAAATGTAATAAAATTTTATTTTTAAATCATGAATATTTGAAGGTAGTCGAAAAGAGAAGGCCTGCCTTCTTGCGATCATCATCATCACTTTGAAAAGGATTATTGAATTTTAAGGTTTTGTTGAATAACTTTAAATATACCTATCTACTTGATGAATCCCAATAGATACGAAATCTATACTAAGCAGACTTTTCTACCGATTTACTTTTATCAACCTCTGATGGCAGAAAGAATTACACATAACTAGGCATGATACCATTTAGCCAATTACTTCCATATATAGTCTTCATCAAGAAATAACATTTAGAGAATCATTCAAATACCATAGAACACTAACTAGATAGTGGATATTTCTTCCTAGTCTTAGATATCACAGCAGTATGTTCACCTAAATCCTGAAAAAAACTCGTAATCCGAAGAGCTAATTATTGTTTGCTACCCTAATGGCATGTTACATCTCCTGTAAAATTTCTGCAAACATGTTTTTTCGATAATTTTCCACCAACCCTGTACAATTACACAATAAGATTATTAGGCATAAACATTTTATGTCAGTGTGGTTGCTAGGCCTAAAGTTCAGGCATATGAATTCGTGGATAATAACTGTCATAACTCCATAGCCAATTTGTTATGACTGAAATGAACTGAATAAACTCCGTTACTAATTTGTTAAGTCTGCGCCTGTTAATTACTATGACGGTAATGAACTCGACTGGTACGCTAATGTCTATTTGTCCGTTGTACTTTCCGATTCACTGAGCCATAAAAATATCAAAAGACAAAGGCTGGCCTGTGACTGTAAGATGTTGTATTATACTATACTACATAGTTCAAGAAACAACACATGATATTTATACATTTTCTTAACCATAATAAAGTCGGCTCACAACCGTGAGAATGGATTGTTCATATTCGCTGGAAATGTCTATTCTGATTGTTTGGTGATCCGCCAAAGTTCAAGGTGGGACAAAAGACGATGAACTGATCACATACTAAACCATAATATGCGTGAGAAATGATACATTAACATAACATAGTAACTCTATCAGAAGATAAATCACATGATTCGTGAGAAAGGATGATACACTATTATATGCTGGGTCCCAACAACGACCTAGTCATATATAGCCAGACAGAAAGGATCATGTGGAACACATAGAAGCCGTTTTAGGACACATTGAAGAGTTCGGACTATGTATCGACAAGATGAAATTGCAGACAGCTAAAAAGAATGTTGTACTTTTGGGATATAAAGTTGGAGACGGTAATATAAAACGCTTGTCTGGGAAAATTCTGACGATAAAGAACACCGGAGCCCCGAAATAGAAGAGAAAACTGCAGTATTTCTTTGAGACAGCGTTTTATGGGCAGTTTTTGAAAATTTCAATGAGATAGGAAGTTCATTGTACTGACTACTAGGCGAGACAAAGTTTATTTGGTTGGTAGACTCGCAGAAGATTTTTGACTGCATTAAACACCTTTTAGACTACCAACAATTGACATAAAAACTACTTGTACCTGGAAAGCGGTTCATGGTGTCTGCAAATGCGAGTGATTATGTAATAGATGCAGTGTTGAGACAGTGAAGGTTTGGAGATTATGCCAGTCGAGTTCTAACAAATACGGGGCAAAAACACTCAATGGCCAGAAAAGAATATTTAGTAATAGTGTGGCGTTAGATAAATGGAAATTTTATGTACTTGGTCAACGGTTCCATATTGAGACTGAACACAAGCCTCAATAGTGGCTGAAGACAGCAGGAGACTCACTTGATAAGCTGTCGCAGTGGAGGTTGAGTCTGCAAGATTATGATTTCACCATCTCGTTCCGGGGGAGGACAGTTTGTTGATAAACTTTTTACCTCGACCGAAAGACGGAAGTGAGTTACCAGAAATTGAATATAGAGTACATGCACTGGAACAAGACCCAATAAGACCTGTCAAAGTCGGATCCTACCCCGAATACAACGATATAGGTGATCACTAACCGGATAGAAGTAAACTGACCTACGGAGAATAGGAAACTAGCCATATTACTCAAACAGAAGGATTTATTAAGACTAAACTCTTACGGAACCTTGACTTAGCAAGAGGACAATCGAAGTTGGTTGACAAAGATACCTCAGTCCCTCTGCTATGAGATCATACAAGAATACCACCCAGCTAGCACACATACTTGTTTCCAGAACAACCGACCTCTTGAGACAAGGCATATACTGGTCGGGTATGTGTACTTGGATGTCTGTAAAATCAATTGGTGAAAATTGATGACTGCACGCCATGTCAGTGTATAATCCATAAACTAATAGTTTGACAGGGAGAAATAACCTCACAATGAAGGAGTGGTTGGTCTCAAAGGGAGGTGGTGACTGGGAGACAGAACTTTCATTCAGTCTACTAGCACATTGCGTTTCATTCCAGGTAACAACAAAGTCTCTTTTTAGTTGAGTTATTGCAGAAAACCACGACCACCAGTACACAACAAGACCTGGCTACATCCCTAACAGTGAAGCATGTATAAGTAGGAAACCGAACAATCAGAAGTTTGTAGCATAAACAAAAGGTTGACACTGCGAAATTCGAGAAGAAAGAATAAATGCATAATGTTTGATGCTGGAGATTACGTGTAGTATACATAGAGGAAGTACACTGCTGAAGGACGGCCAGGTCCACGAAAACTCCTTCCAAATGTTGGTTAAGACCAGCCAACTTTAGAGATGGATGAAGTGGGATGAAGAAGTTGGCAACAAGACACAGCAAAGAAGGTCAAAGCGGCTAGGCTGGAGACTTTTTGACTAGAAGACGAGTGTGACTTGTACTACTGACAGGAATTTGCAAGTGGTATATCGTGCAGGAGGAGGGTGAGGAGGCCGTTGGGTGACATCGCGCGTCAGGCCCTCGAGTGGAACCCGAAAGGGAAGCGGCGAGTGAGACGTCCAAGGGTGACATGGAGGAGATCGTGTGAAGAAGAGTTGAAACAGTATGGACTAACATGAATGCAAGTGAAAAATACAGTAGAAGCAAGTGGAGGCGTGCAGTTGAAGCCCTATGTTCCATTAGGAACCCAAGAGAACAATAATAACAATAATATCGTGCAGGATGTCTTCCATAAGAATCTTGAATAATGCAGTGACAAATTAAGTTACGAAGAAGAGAAATGACAGATCCTGACGAAACAATATAAGAAACATGGAAGGAAGGCAAAAGAAGCAGAATACGAAGAACTTGTGCAAAATTCAGTGAAAGGTTTTTGTGTTTTGCCATCACTTTATGTTATTTGCCAAGTAAATAATCTGCTACTGAATATATTACTGCATTCTCCCACTACCTATTGCACCGAAAATTGTGTGTTGAAGATGACGGGTTTCAACCGATGCCTACATTAAACAACGTGATCTAATAGAAAAGATGACTCATTGTCACATTTTTACTTTTACTAAGTTTAACTGAATATTGTCAAACATGCCAATAGTAGAGCTATTTTAGACGAACTGTGGAATAATGCCATTTCACTGTATGCTTTATTTCATTTTATCAAAGATAATCTTCTTCGATGTTGACTTCATTACGAATCAATGTCATTTAGAGAATCACTGAAAGCCAAGGAACACTGGACAGATGTTTTGTCTTAAGTTTGAACTCTTCGGTAGTGCATGTCCATCATCTCATCAGAGTTCGAACCCAGTACCTTCAGGTTTTTGACGTTCTATCTATGAATCCTAATTCTTTTTAATTCTCAATATTTAGCCCTAACGCCAACCAGCGCCATAGATCTATATGCACTGGTCATGACTCGTTACAACTACAGAACATCCATTTCCACAGACCTAAAATCTGAATAACTAATCATCTTTTTAAACTGTGATCAATCCAGAAAGTCTTATCATTCGTTCTTTATAGTAAATTTATTAATACCGTAATTTCTGTATGCTTTAAGATATTTAATGGAACTCTGATACAATTGAATGAATGCGTATATAATTCTATTCAGTGTAATATTTCTGTAGTGAATATTATTATCATCACATTATTAGCCAACTTCATTGTAACATCCAGTATCCAATAATGTTTCTAAAGTTTGTACTCCAAGTTTTGTCATAAGTAATTTTAATCGATAATTATTCCATTTTAGCTTATTGTTGATTTTATTCAATCTAAATTAGTAAGAAAAAAAATATCAACAGGTAGACTAAATAACTAGAAAAAAATTAAAGCGCATGATATAGAATTTGAATAAAAAGGAGGCAAAATTATCATTATTGTTACTGAAAACAATCGTTTCATCCCATCCAGAGCTCGTCAGATGAATTCATTTGCATTGCGGTGAAGTCGCTAAAATCGTCGTCAATAGCTTCATATAGAACAGCATTAGAGCATATTTCTTGAGTATTATTATAGTAATATACAAGTATGGTCGGAGACGTATATGTTCTCACTGACACACTTCCTAATTGATAGGTAAGAAGTCAACTAAGTAGTAACTTCAGATTCTGAGCAAAATCAAATGTCCGAGTGATGTTATCCAGACAAATTAATCTTCAGTTTCCATCTGTTATCTATTGCAAAATTTTGGCTAAGTGCTGAATGACTTAATTTTAATTATTTTCTAACATTTAGACATGGAGTCAGGTTGGTTTTTACATAGCCTTATCGATGTGATTTCTGTGGATTGTTATTATTCTTTACTGAGGTTCCGAGTGGAACTGCACTACCAGAGTTTCTTGTTACTTATCCTTTGTGGTCGGCTGTCTGACATTCATTATCTAATACCGGCAGCTGTTGATTTAAGTCTACATCAGGCCAGCGGAGGTGCTTTTTGTGACGAGTGCACCAAGTCTCTAAACCATACGGAAGCTTTGGCTTAACATGAGCGCTAAAAATCCGGATGTTATTCCTTGTACCATAGGTCTTCACACTGTCTTACTTTCCTGATCGTAGCTGGCTTCGACATCTTCATTCCTGCCGCTTGTTGTTGTGACGGTGCTGCCTAGCCGGGTAAGTAGCTGTTGACTAGGCGACAGCGTCAGCAGTTATGAAATAAAGTGAATTTACTTTACAAATCGATATTCTTGCTTTCTCAATATTTATTCACCAGAGGAAATTGATGGATTTCTGTTGACTCCATAGTAATTTCTGTCTTAGATACTCATGCGGCAACAGTGGCTAATAACATAAGACCTTTTGCAAAAGATACAACTTTCGTTTGAGATAAAACTTTATTGTTTGAAACAACAAATATTGGGTTCGTGAGAACGTCACAAGTCATTGGGATCATAAATATAGAAGCAGCTTGTGCTTGATTCTACCTACCTCTAACTAACATCAAGCAAGTAAGACCAGAATGGATCTGTTTTATTTATTGAAATATAATAATTTCTAAACGTGTCATTTATCTTTTATATTTCAGCTTGTTGATATATCTGGATGCTTGTTTCGAAGTCACGTTCTAACTTCTTCAGCACTATTTTACTTTCCATAAGGATTTAGGCCGCATTGTGTTTTTGTTGTTTGCCTATTTTAGTGGGGCATATATCTCTCGATTTTGTACTCCTATTTGATCCAGTCTTTTAGTTTGCCACCTGAATACTGTTTGGTAGTCTTTCATTCCTAACTATCACAACAAATCGATAAGGCTTTTCCATTCAAAAGATCCATACTTAGAGATTATTCCCTTCTTATCTTAGCACTCTGTGTTTAGGAAGTTACGAAAAAATTGTCTAGAGATGTTGCTTTGGTCTAATTTTATATTCTTGTTAATATTCATCAGTAATCTATATCAAGAAGTTATTTTCTATCTGAAAATTGAATGTTTCACTCTGTTGAGTGACATGAAGCACCCGACCCTAGAGTGAAATGCGAATGAGAATCGATGAGTTGGGTATCCGAGGGTGACATACAGGAGGTGAAAACTTCTGTAGAAGCAGATAAAAAGAAGTGCAGATAACAAGATGAAATGGAGTTGTACTGTTGAAGCCTTATGTTCTTTGCGTCAGTGGCACAGAGATTAGGGCTCTCGCCGACCATGCAAATGGTCCGGAGTTCGATCCCCTACCGATGCACATCTGATACCAATTGGTCAGCCTGCAAAATTTGGACTACCGACATCGCATGATGGAAATTCCATACTTCTACCAAAATACGGTGTGGAATCAAGCTATATTCAAATAATAAATACTCATACACTTAAGCTAACTGGATCCATAAATATGTATCAGTAATACCATTTGTTAAACATACTTCACTGCTGTAATTTAATTCTTTTGAGGATCATATGGTTTACTTTTAGATGATGAAGGTTATCACCAAATGTATTCCATGTTTTGCAGAAGTTTTCAAAAGAATGAAATGATATCAATGTAACTGTAGTTTTTTTGATTGGACACTAGTAATTAGTGTGGAGTGTCTAGTCCTGTTTTGGTGCAGACTGAGTTTTGTCAGTTAGGTTTGCAATGTTGTCGCCATCCTCGGTAGCTCGCCATCACGGTGCACATTGATTCGATGATACCAGATGGTTGGAGGCAATCGGCAGGAAGCCTTGGACCTAGGTTTCGTGCTAGTTGACACTAGTCAACAAGGTGTATCTGCAACCTTGAAGGAACTCATATCCCTTCTTAGATTCGAACCCGCGTCACCCACTGGTGCAGTCTGTACCAAAGAAAGGACTGGACACATTACACTAGTTTCTGAGTAGTGTCCAATCAAAGTATTCACTAGAGTCCTACAGGAGGTCAATCGCGAGCCCGAATATCTCAGTGGTAACGTCTCTGACTGCACCACTGGTTGACGCAGGTTCGAATCTCAGAAGGGACATGAATTCCTTCAAGGTTGCAGATACGCTTTGCCGACGAGTACCAACTAGCACGAAACCTAGGTCCAAGGCTTCCTGCTGATTACCTCCAACCATGTAATTGTAGTTCATTGCGTAATAAAACCTTCTATTTGATATTGTTCTCCGACTTTTAATAACTAATTTCTGTGTATGTTTTTGAACTCAACTGCCTGGGACTGACGTTTCATATGAGCCACACACACACCTGTGTCTGCAGGCTGAAGTAGGTGGAGTGAAACTCGAACCTGGGACCCATAGTTTGTAAGTTTAATGACAAAACTATTGAGTCATATCTACACTACTAATCCCTGTACCATTTTGTTGTTCTTTTCTGTAGTATGTAACAAGTTTGAAGACAATTGTTTTTGACAAAAATTTCTCTTACCTGTTATTTAAAAATGTGATCATTTCATTAAAATCATATTTTGAACGTTCATGCTATTAAACATAAAAGACGAAAGTATAAGATTATTCAATAAAATTAAATTGTCTATTGTGATGTTGTTGTGTTCTCTGAGCTGGAGAGTTAATTTGCGAAGCTTTCATCACCCTACTGGGTGACATCTTCAGCGCCCAGTAGGGTGATGAAAGCTTCGCAAATTAACTCTCCAGCTCAGAGAACACAACAACATCAAAATTATCCACCTGAGCTACAAATCTTCTCTATCATATCTAAATTGTCTATGGTATAAGAAAAGTTTTTCTATTCTTTACAAGGTTATTATTACATTATTATTTAACCATTAGGTTATGTCAGGAATAAATAGAAGGGAAAAATCATGAGCCATTGAATTCCAAAGGATAATACCCTAAAGTGTAACTTATAGATCATGGCTTGAACTTCTCATGATGCGAGAGTCTGAAACTGAGAAGACACATACGTCCATTACTCCTTTTACTGATGCAGATTCACGTCAAAATCAACATTGACGTAAACTAGATTTTCATACTCATAATGGGTGAATTTTTTCTTAGTCATTCAGGTTATTTTCGAGTAGTTAATATGATCTGTAGATGCACACATAACTGAAGATTCTAATGTTGGATGGTTAAAGACAACTGACACCACAGACTACGCATTATAACAATAGTGTTGCCTTAGTGATCAAACAATGAACTAAAAGTTCTGCTGAGGTTTTGAACTTTTTGTGTAAAGGCGTCTAGTAAGTTTTGAAATACCGGACTAAAATCAGACTGTGTCCGGCCTTGATCAACTTTAAGGAAAGGGAGTAGATACACACTGTGAACGAAGATCATATTTCTAGTCTTAACAACAAATTGATAAGATTTCCAGGTATTGGTTTTTGTAGGGAATTTGTTTGACTGGTTGGAGGATTTCATCATGAGCTGACATCGGTTAGAGAACCATTGGAAAACCTGCAGGGAGTAATGGACAGCTGTTTCGTCCTACTTTGAGACTCTGCTTCAGCAGTACGCTGAATAAAGAGAGAACGATTAATTTCACGCTACCGTGTTAAATGGATTTTATTTTTTCTATATTTTATGATTGTTAATTGCTGACATGGCCACGATTTACTTGTAACTAATATAATTGTTCACTTCCACATAATAAATTTTCATTCTACTAAAATTTATCTATAGTTCGAGAATAGCTTACTCATAAATAGTTCTATTAGAAATGATGTAAAAAACAAAATTTACTTTTGGTAAATCCGTCATAGCCGGTTTCAACAAGCATTGTTGAACACACATTTTCTCATAAAACCAACGAGGAAATTTTGCCTCTAAACTATCCAACCAGTAAACTTGTTGAGAAATTAATTCTTGTGTTGCACTCTGACGAATTTTATCAATATCACCAACTGCTAATCCTATCTGAATTTGAAATTAAACAGAATGTAATATTTACTCAATTTTAATCAAGAGATAAATAGAAATGAGGCAAAGAAAAAATATACTGTGTGAATTTTATGCATGAATCTGTACCGAAAGAGATTGCCAGCATCATGTGAAAAGACATTTTGGGGTTTTAACTAATGAAAACTGAATTTTGTTATTAAGCAGGTAAGTCTACAAATATGCACTACACAGGAATAGAGAACGATTGCGTGCCAGTAGTAGAAGCAAGATACAGTCACTGATTTAAATTCATCCCATTGTAGCGACAGAGGACAAGGGTCAGGCAACAGATCGTTTATTAAGGAAATCAAAGCATATTTATATATTTTCATGTACATTATTATGTTTAGTTAAGCAAACAAACACAGTCTTCTGATTGGTTGTTTCTCACGTAAAGTTAATCTTTCATCTCTTTGTGACTGTTTCTTGAATGTCAGATCATCTATATGTTAACTGCATCCGCCTACGCAAAGTCTGCTGTGGTCGGTTTTTGAATCAGTCTTGTTCATATTTTCTCACAACAAATCTTGGGAACGTAAACATTGACGTAAATTACTGTCTACCAATTTGGCTAGTAGACAGCTCTCACCACACCATTAAGTCGTTAGATCAATTTAGTTCTGCAAGGGTAGAGAGTGAGATCCACCCATAAACAATTTTATACTTTGGTCAACATAAGTAACAGTCTACCAACCGAAGACTATCTCGTATAGTTTCATAGTCAGTTAATAACTTATTCCACTCCTTCTAATTCATCTAGATTAAGATTGACAGAAGAAGATCTAGTTGGGAATGATGGTGAACGGACAGTAACGTGTCATTCATTCACCTGACAGTTAAGCATTTTCTCTGCTGATTTCAGTAAAGTAATGATCTGGTGAGCAGTGAAATCTCGCAGTTCAACTGATAGAAGGCACAGGATTGCTAAGTCACAGACCCTTGCTTCGAATCCTACTGTGACCTAGACTTTCAATTCACCTTTAGCTATTACTACAATACATCAATTTTATATTAGCTAAGCGTATCGCTAGCCATTTAGATGGTCCAGGGTTTGATCCCTAGCCGACGCCCTCCCAAACCTCGCTTACCTGTTAAGAAGCTCGACAGAGGGGGGAGGTTGGGCGTGAAACAAGCAGTCCCATCCCGTAAAAATAAACACCACTGCTACCGAAACTTCAAAGCTCTAGCTTGAAGCCCTATGTTCCACTGGGGACGCAAAGGAATAAAATATAAATAATAATATTAGCTAAGCAAATACTTACCGTTAAATTTATCAGGGTTATTGGTATTAAAATAACAAATCCTATATAGAAGATGAATGTTAATTTTGGAAAAGAGATTATAGGTAAGCTGTTGTCTAAGTATGGCTGAATAATAACTGTTGTGTACTTATATTCACCCATCATCATCATTAATACATTGAAAAATGATAAACCAATACTACTGAATATATTCATATGTCTACCATTGTCTATTGTTTCTTTATTCACTGACTGATAGAACAGAATTTCATATCCAGTAAAACATTTACTTAGTTGGTTTTTACTTGTCTCAGACAGAATATCAAACTCCTAAAGGGAGAATATAAAAATCAAACAAGAAAAGGATGAAAGATTTTATGCATGTTGAAAGTGCCGATATTTGAGGCAAAGTGTATATATAGGAGTAACACTTCAGAAACTGGGCTACATTCACATTCCGTTTAGAATATTCTCAGTGTTGCTTTTTCTAAGCAAAGCCATTCAGTTCTAAGGCTGACATTATGTTTACAGACAAATTTTATTAGCGAATATATTACATAATAGAGAGAGGTGTGACTTATTTTCAATTAAATTAAAATGTTAGTGTAAACAGATGAATTATACACATATATGAAAAACAGCAAACAAAAGAAGCATTTTTTTCAACCAGCTGTTTGTCAGCTGTATTGGCTAAATGTGCTTAAACGACTTCGTGAACCATACAGTTTGCAACAGAATGGAATAATGAAATGTTACTCAACAACCACTTGTATTTCTGTGCAACTGACAATGAGCTACACCTACTGTATGAAGGCTGCTGATACTGTCTGATTGCTCAAACCTCGGTAGGCGGAGTGAAGTTCGAGACGGTGACTTACAGGTTGGACATCGAGTGTCTAGACCAACGAACCCTAGTTCCTATTATATAATTTTTAGAGATTCTAGTTTCATGGGGTAAGTATATTATATTTAACTGATAAATGGAAAAGTCATTGGATACATCACTGTTTATTTGACATTGATTTTAGTTGTAAGGTTAGTTTCAGATGATGAAAATAGCGATAACATTTGAAAGCAATAATGAAAGAAGTTTTTTTCATTCCTTTGAGTTCCCAGTGGAACATCGGGCTTCAAGCTTGATCTTTGAAGTTTCACTAGTTGCATTTGTTTTACAAGGTACCGTTGCTTGCCTCATATCAAAGCTTCTATTTATAACAGGCTTATTACCGGCTGAACGAGGTTTAGAAATATGTCAGTCGACAGTCGAGTCCAGGCCACCTATGTAGTCGGTGAGCATTCTTCCATTGAAGAATTAAACCACCTGAAAAGTAAATTGAGCCTTAGTGTCAGGAAATGGATGCCTAAAAGAAGTAAATATAGTGTGAAAACACTTGATAAGGATAGCATAGAACAATGAAAAGTGAAAGTCATTTGTTCTTTGTCTGTGACTAAGCTAGGATGCCAGACGTTTAATAAACAAGTACATAACTCTCATATACTTTAGTAATGTTAGTTGTATTAATTATAAGTGATATAAATTATCACTTACCTTATCCTCAGGTGACTGAAGTAGTCGCCAGAATACTATTGCAAATCCAGTGAGAAGGCATAAAAATAAGGGGAACACTTTGGCTACTGTAGTTGTTACATGTATAAACATAATGACAAATATTCCCAAATCTTGTGACCTAAAGTTAGTAAATAAATGAATAGTAAACGTAGATACGTATAACTGCGTAGATCCAATTTTGAGAATTTATTGTTTTTTTCAACATGTTTCTTATAAAAATAGAGGATTTAAAAGAAGTAGGTAAAAAGACATCCTGGAATGCGATTGCTTTCTGAATACTCGAACAACTTTGAAGGCTATTCTAACAGCTTCGTTGGTCATAACATCCACCAGCCAGGCTAGTTTAATTATACGGGTATAATTTATCGCTCTTGTTGACAAGAGGTACAAAGTATGTTGTTAAGCCATTCAAACACATAAGATTATGAATGAACATATTCCTTCTTCTGTTTACCAGGCCTCGTAATATGCCTTAGACGGTCAGGCGCTTATCACAATAACTTTGGGTACTTGCTGAGATGGCTTTAGTCAAATTCTAATGACTCACATTGTCGAAGCACCACATGATTATCCTTTCCAACCACTTATTGTGAAGTAAAACAGGTATATCGATGATTTTTTAGTTTCTGTTACTGGCAGAAAAGCAGGACAAGTGTTCATTAGTCTGAAATCACCGTGGAGATGTACATCACTAAGTAAAGCGAACAAAATACAAATTTTTAACACTATTGTAAAGTCACTGCTCTTATTTGGCTAAGTGACTTGTTGTACATTCCTAACAGACTGTTGGAGACTTTCATTGAAAGCAGCCGTCTCTGGCTCCATACTGAATATCAGATGGTACAAGTACCATTAAAAATACTGTTCACTCGAATGTTAGTTGACTGTTACCTGCCTATTTCAATGGATTTTCAAAGTTTAGAAGCATACTGACACTCACGGACGTCTCATTTTATCCCTTGTTTATGCACTCAATGACAGAACTTCCGATTATGTATATGATAAGTTCTCTTAAGATATAAGGAAAAATAAATGTCTAGATATAATCATATCAGAGGAACACTTCGATGACGAATGATGAGTATCTGTCTCCAGAGACTGAACAGATGAATTGATAAAAGTGACCACCTTCTTTAACAGAACTAGCTTTGGACATGAATAGAAGCATTTTGTTATTCGTCTGCACCTTGCATTGAAGCGCTAATATAATTTGGGCCAGTATTCTAGTCCATAAAACTTTGTTAGGAAATATATCAGTTATTCTAGTTAGACAAAACCATTACAATTCAATTATTATTTCCTATTAATTATTTAGGTATTAATTTTCTATAGTTTGATTTGTAAGGGTTAGTTATGTTTTACGAATTGATCACGGATTGAAAGCAGTTGGAGAACCATTGAAAACCAAGGAGTACTGAACAGCTGTTTCCTCCGTCTTAGTTTGGGAATCATCGGCAGTACGCACCCACTGCCAGGGTTCGAAGCCAGGACCTACCGGTTACAAGGCCAGCTCGTATACTATTCACCCACTGGGACACAATCTAATGACCAGCCCATGAATTCTAACCTCTACCAATTCATGATTTAGCGCACTATGTTGTATATAAAGATTTCAAAAATCAGTCTTCATATTTAGAATTTATGTGAATTCCATTAACTTCAAAGTAGCTTTAGCTATAAAATGACATCATTCAGAGAACCAATGAAAACCGAAGAGAACTGAAGAATTTTTTCACCATAATTCTGTACTTTATCAATTAATGCATGAGATTCAACAACTATTCATACTGGACTTCTACTCAGTTCACTCAATATTCAATTCAACTTTCATTTTAAATTTTTGTATATCCCGTTAGCTAACTGTGACACTATTTATCGAGAATCGTCAGAAGTTAGAATTCATGGGCGAACAGTGACACGAAGGTTCTGAGTACTATTGTCTGTTAGCTCATGGGTAACTACTGATGAAGAGTCCCAAACTTGGATGAAACTCTCCTCTATTACTCCCTAGTTTTCGATGGTTCTCTAACTGATGTCAATTCCTAATTTAACCTGAAATCAATCAAATCCATGTAAACTTGAACTTGAAAATATTCAATTTTATTTCATACAGATATATATTTGTATATATGCACTAACCTGAGCATTTGCAGCAGCAAGTTTATCCATGCCATAAACATAACAATTATAGACAATACAATACCGTACGATGTTGTTTGACTAATTAAGTTAATCACTAAATTTATGTTAAGCAGTATATGAAATGTGATAGTGAAATAATTTGTAAAACTTTCGAAATAATTCAGTTTCTAAATGGGAAGAAGAAGAAGAAGAAAAAGACTCCCTCGGCGTGAATGATGAGTAAACAATAGTAAAAAAAGGGAAAACTGGTAAGACTTTCCGATATAGTTCATTATAAACATCTGCCTGTGTTGTATGGCAAATTTCTTCAAAAATAATCATTCCCGTTGTCTGAAAATAGCATTTGTTATTCTAGTCAAACTGCAAAGCTGTGTCATACATAAATATACATTTTCTATATCAAAGTGTGTGAATGATATCACGAGCCACGTCAGCCCTTGAATGGAATCCGAATAGGAAACGACTAGTTGGATGTTCGAGAGTGACACAGAAGAGATAGTATGAGGAGAAATTGAAAGCACACGGGCAGTCAAGAAGCTAGGTCAGGAAGACTACAGAGAACAGGGGGGAAGGAGATACTCTTCTGAAGCCTTATATTTCACTTGGAACCCAAAGGAATTACAATAAAAAATAGCAATTTTAATCAAAGCATCACTGCTTTTGTGTCCTTTTTGTTCTTACTTACCAGTGAGAGCTTGTTGACAAACTGACAGTGGATGTGAAACTTTGTAAAATGGCACATGAATTTACCTTGTTACACAAGAGCCACTAGAATCCTTTGATACTACTTAATATTATGCTGGCTAATAATTCTAGCTGAGGAATATGAAGGCTTGCTATTTATAGATATCTATGTTGGCAGAGACCTATTCCCTGACTGCTAATCTGTTATGTAAGTTGCGAAGAAACACATTGAAATGATTAGATTTCAAAAAAAGCTGCAGTTGCCAATACCAAAAAAAATTAACAGTTGTTGTTAAATAATTTAGGTAAAACAGTACAAGTTTCCCGACTTTATTGGTTGTCAAAATAAGAGAAGACAATCATCAAGGATCCTAAGTGAAACGTGTTAAAATATCAACATAAAGCAATGAATCTGGGTTTCATGCTTGTTAGTACTTATCAGCATGGCGTATCTAAAACATTGAAGGAATTGCTATTCCCTCTGAGATTCGAACCCGCGTCTCTGAATGTTTCAGTCAGACACGTAACAACTGAGCTATTCGGATGTGCCACTGACCTCTTGTATGACTGGTTTGAAGGTTTCCTGCTGATTACCTGTGACCATCTAATGCTAATTCAGAAAATATGATTATATGTCGCTATCTTGATGACTATATTGCAAATTCAACTCAAGGAATACACTCACCGCCAATACCATGGACTAGATACATAATATTTGGTACTACCTAGAGTCTAATCAATGTACTTATTCACTGCCTTTGTCTAAGCACTGAAAAAGTAAGCGAATATTTAAGATTTCCTCAGAAATTCCACATCACATCATACCACATTTTTTCGATTTAGGTGTTAAGAGTAATCAAATGTATTGTCAGTATAATTGTGTGTGTGAAATTACACTTTTTCTAAGCTAAGTCTTATTATCCTTATACGACATTATTCTAAAGTCTATGAATTCACTGATGAATGACTGGAGGTCGGTAACAGTAGGCTCTTAGTGTAAGTCATTTACAGACTAACAAAAGAAAGTCTTCATATTATCAAGAATTGGTTTTGTAGGGATTTGATTGGTTGGAGGATTTCATCATGAGCTGACTTCAGTTAAAGAACCATTGAAAAACCACCTGGGAGTACTGGACATCTGTTTCGTCAACCTAGTTTAGGAATCTTCATCAGTACGCACCCGCCGCTACGGTTCGATCCCTGGACCTTCTGGTTACAAAGCCAGAGAACTCGTAGACCATTAAGTCACTCACTGGAACCTAACCGACCCAACAGCCAGCCCATGAATTCTAACTTCTGCCGATTCATGACATAGGACAACCACTTCGCAGTGTCTTCTTCGCATTCGGAATTCGAATGTCGCAATAGAAACTTTGGCAGGAAGTTTCATACTACTTCAGAGTAATAAAGAATGTTAAGGAGAATCTCCATGTATTCGCATGCAAGCTATAGGGTGTTAAATATATTCAGACTTACTTTTGAAGCAATTTTCAAGCACTGCATAACCACACTGAATAAACTAATGAGCAGAAGTAATATAAAGATTCCTCGATCATTTCCTGATTCATTCACCTGGTTGTACAGATAAGATGGACAGTAGAAGAAAGCAAATTTCAGTGACAGAACATCTGGTCAACTCAGGACATTCAGCGCCTTTCGAAAAATCCTTCAAAGTAGTATACAAAATTCAATCAAACCCATCAAAGGGAGTCAAATCAAGACATCTGGGCATAGCTGAGGCGCTAGCTATCCAAAAGCTCAAACCCACGCTTTGTATCCAAAAGAATTACGTCCAACCCCTCTCCCTACCATGGCCATCATAAACAGGTAAAATTTTTTTTAGTAATGACAATCCCATCGCCTTTCTTATCTAAACTTTCTGTTTATTCATGTTATTTTAAGTTTTCTTAATCCCTGTTTACACTACCATATTTTCATACCCACTCTTCCTGTTTATTTTGTCATTTTACTATTTCTACATATTTAATCCCTGATTGCATAAACAATTATTCATCATATTAGTTTTTTATCCAACCATCCTGTATATTTTGTTATTTCTACATTTCTAACCCCCAATTGCACAATGTCAATCTTCTTAGTTATTATAATGCTACTTTGTTCGAGTTTTATCCGTCCCCCTGTTTATTATGGCATTCTAATTCCTAATTGTAATTTTTTATCAATTTGACCCTTAACCGGAAATTATTCTGGGACTTTCCCATCCATTTGATATAAATACACGAATGTACAGCCTAGATGATGACTTCGTCGAAAAGAAAATTTTCTTCGCTGCAATTGTCTTTTTAATAACTCCTATGACCCAATGTGTATATTCCGAAATTTTGAATAATCAATTTTAGTATGGAAATAAATTAACAGGGACAATTTTAGCAATCAGACAAAATCCCTACAAAAGCAATACTTGAAAATTTTAGAAAAGTTCATAGGACTATATATTGCCTGAGCTATAAATTTCTCCTTTGTTGAAGATGCGATCACTAAAGTTGACTGGATAATTCTGAGTTTGTTTTCATGATAATTTTTTCCGGTTTACTAATTGTAAATAGTATTCAGATTTTGGGTTATGTATGAATTTTGACTGATTTCAGTGTAAGGGACAGTTTTCAGCTGGAGAATTACTGAAAATGAAAAGGTGCTGGGCAACTGTTTCATTCTAGATGGGGGCTATCGTCAGTAGTGAGTACTCCCAACCGCATAAGGGGTTGAAGTATGTAGTGAAACCAGTGGAAATCCCTACAAACCCAAAATGTTCACATCGGCCTCTAGGCGATTAGTTACCATAAAATGGATGTTCTGAAATTGTGATGACAATTCATCGCCGTTGGTATCAGCCATGTCATAGTGAAGTGGATTTTCATCAGTAGCACTGGTTGACGGTAGTTCTATATGGCCAATTGACAGAAGTTAAAATTCACGGGTCATTGAATTCCAGTCAAGTGGCTAAATGATGAATGAATCAACCCTAAAATCTCACGGCTCTTGTTTCAATAGGGTCATGCATCACACTACTGGAAATTCCCAGACTAGAACAAAATAGCTGTTCAATGTTGCTTGTTTTTCAATGATTCTCCAACTGATGTTTGTTTGTGAAAAAATCTACAGTGAAAATAATATTCTTATAGTTGGTTTTCTTCATAACCTATGGTTGCTGAGTGTGAAATTCACAAGTATTCTACATACATCCTTCATGTGGTTAATACCAAAGAAGAAACTTTTAAATTTCACACATCAAAATGGGTAGCATCGATGAATTGTCATAACTGTGTTTGTAGATAGAAAACTTCTAAATTATTTTCAGAATAAGTGGATTGAGAATAATCTTCATAACAGTTATAATCTTATCATAGGGAATAGAAACGCAGTCTCTGTTCTTTTGGTACGGCTTCATTTTGATTTTCCTGATAACCTTTTGAATTATTCTTATTTGATGATTTACTGTCTGTTAAATATTCTATATTTAAGCAATCTAGATAATATTTTTTCTATTTGAACGATAATTCATTAGCTGTAAAAGTAAGCATTAACGAAGAAACTGTTCTGTATTCTGTTTTCCACTTAGTGGTACCTTGTAAGAATAATACAGTTTCTCGCGAGCAATGATTGTTCTGCCACATTACCAACCAGTGTGACCTATTTATTCGTCAGTCGGTGTTATTCCAGTTTAATTTTACCGTGTGCGTCGGTGGCACAGCGGTTAGGACTCTCACTGACCATGTACATGGTCCGAGGTTCGATCCCCCGCCGACGCACACCTGATATCTATGGCCGGCCTGCTAAATTTGGGCTACCGATATCACATGCTGAAAATTTCATACTTGTAGCAAAATACTGTCTGGAATCAAGCCATAATAAAATAAAATAAATTAATTAAATTGTCAATCACTGTTCGCAAACTGATATTATCAGTTTTATCAGTGATAACAATTCTACTGTTACCAACTTCCTATTCCTTGTAATGAAACAGTCATACAAAAAGGGTTTGTTTAGTGAAAAATACATGAAATAATTATCTGTGAAAATGAATTATAAGTATATTGATTATATTTTGAAAAGTTAATTACCTTTTGAACACAATAGGATGTCTGGTTATCATCTTTATTATTGCTATTATCAATATCAGCATAATTTATATTTGATGGAACTTGTCTTAAAGTGAGTAATGTGACTGTTAAACTCAGTGTGATGTTATATAGAGTGAATATTAAATAAATCCATCTTCCATACATTTTCCTTTGATGCAAACAGGGGAACAAGAGGAAAAGTTGTTTAGTAGCTTTTATAAAGAGGGAATATTATAATTAATACTCTAATTGAGCATGAGTAAATAATGAGGAATCATGGATGGTGTAATTTCATTCTGTTTCTCGAATGATGACATTCTTGAAATTCTATTTCTTAAAGTTTCGAGTGGAATGTAAGGCTTCAAGCTACAGCTTTGAAGTTCCAGAAGCACTGGCGTTATTTTCTACGAGGTGGGATTGCCAGCCTCACGCCTAAACTTCCCTCTTTACCGGGCTTACTATTGGCTACGATTTAGGCTTGCGTCCATCGGGAGTCGAACCCCGGACGGTTTAGGCGATTGGTGACCATTCTACCTCCGAGTCACCATCGCACATGAATGATAACATGGTTATGCATAAAAACTTGACGACCCAGAAGTCGGTCCTTTATAGGCTTGTGTATATTCACATCTAGAAAGCCTCACACAAAGATGATGCTGTCACCCAGTATACCTCATTTTCCAGTGATATGTCAATTAACACAACTGTCGAAGATGACTAAATCCTTACAGTTAGGCAATAAAGGATATAATTATCTGTTATATTACGCCTTATTCATGAATTTGAAAGGACGCGTTAAATATTTTGGAGCTGAATAACATTACACGTTACTCAAGATCGAAGTAAGCATTATAGTGTGGGCAAATGTCAGCTAACAGTAAAAGCTAAGTATATAGAATGTCAGTTAATTTACTTAACAACTTATTAGAACGCGTAAAATCTTCACTTTATTGAGAGAGAGTACATTTATCCACTTTAGAAATATAACAAATAATGTTAGTGTGCAACATATATCAACTATAAAATAGCCCTCAAAATGTGACGGACATAAAGGTAACATTGTGGTAATGTGATACAGACAATGGGTTTCAATGGAATGTTATTCTCACAGTAAGAATCATTGTATTTGCTGGTGTTAATGTCTGAATACTATTCACACAGTTAAATAGTGCATTAGCAACAGAATGCTATTTGTATTTGAACATTCTATTTGGTGTTAGAGATAGAGCACTTTTCTTACAGTTAAATAATGCATTAGCAACAGAATACTCTATAAATATACATGAACATTCTATTTCATGTCGCTTAATGTAAACCAAAATCACACGCTAAGTGATTGGTTAAAGAATATAAACTGTATAGATATAAATAGTGGTTCGATCAATTGAAAATATACCTTGGCTTCCGTGTCTTGCCTTCTGCTGTTACAACATGAGCAACACATTTATAGAATCTTGATGTATTTAATAATGAGCTAACCTAACAGCGAATCCTAATCACCATTATGAGATTTCTGAGAAACTTTCGTAAATTACCCACTGTTTATATATATATATATATATATATATATATATATATATATATATAAAGGAATGTGACTGAACAGAAATGTTCCTCTTCGGGGCTATAAAAAGAATTAAGAGATCATCATCGTCATCTTCTTCATTCCTTTGCTTTCCAAGTGGAATAAAGATCTTCAAGCGTTGGGCTTTGAAGTTTCAGTAGCCGTGTTGTTATTTTAACAGAGTGCAGTTGCTAGTCTCATGCCCAACCTCCCCTCTTTTATGAGTAGTTGAAATGGAGAGGCTGAGAAGTGTGTTAACCTTCCACGTGTCTGGCAAGCACTCCACAGCTGAACTATAGGCGCTGGTAATCACATGACAACTATGTACTGATGAATGATTATTTTACAGACCAAGGATAAATTTGTGAAAACAGAAAAAAGGGATATTGTCAATAACAGTCATACCGCTAAACATACTGCCATTATATCTACTCACCATTTCATCTTGAGAAACATCACGCATAAAGGATGAACAAGCAGTTTCTTCCGTTTATAGTGTACCATCATCTTTTTTTATTGATTGAAGGCAGAAAAGAAAGAAACAAAAGCTTACTGATTTAAAATGTAACCTTTCCTTCTTATGTAAAAGTTTTTCTAATAAATTTATCAGTGTTTTTGGGAGAAAAAACATTTAGACTTTGATGAAATTTAATACGAAAATTGCAACATTTTGATGTGTACAACTAATCAGACTTATTAATTATTGAAATGGCTAAGCGGAAAATTCTAATTACACAATGTAACCATAATTATATTCACCTCAGAAAGTCCTACCCACACAGTCATTTTTCGTTCTAACTTGTTATATTATGTAAATTACTCACAAATAAGACTTTGATTCTTTTCTCAGTAAGCGAAAATATCAGTTTTGTTTACGGCTAGTGAACTATTTAGAAGTTTTTCTGGCCAACAAATAATTTGCAATTAGTAGTGTTCTCTGAGCTGGTTGGTTTAGTTGCGGAGCTTTCGTCGTACTTCTGGACAACATCTTCAGCGCAATATTTAGCATAAAGTGAAATGATTTAAATTTCTTCATGAGTGATATAATTGCGTCTCCTGGTAATCATCTTTACATATGTATTGACCACTTTCTATTGGCTTGGATTTTAAACTTTCTGGTCACCTGATTTACTTTTTATTAGTTGGTATATTTCGTCTATATTAACGTGCTTGTTAATTGCATTTTTGTTTGAGTAGCAGGCTTCTAGGAATTCCCTGGCACTTTTGGTGTTTCCTTTGTCTAAGATTTTGACATTATCCTAATCAAATTAATGACCATAATTGTCTATATGCATTGATACTAAAGAATACATATCATGTCTTTTCACAGGTGATTTGTGTTCCTGGATTCTAATTCGAAGGGGACGCCCACTTTGGCCGATGTAATGCTTGTTGCAGTTCATACAATTTATTTTGTAAATGGTATTAATTTTATCTCCTTTTTCTGTTGGATCTTTCGGTTTGCATAATATCGAATTTAGCGATTTGACTGGCTTGTGTGCTATATCTATATCAAACGGTTTCAGTATTCTAGCTGTTATTTCAGAGATATTTCTCATGTATGGTAGGATGAATTTTCTTGTGGTCTTTGATGATGGTTCTTTGTTGGTGTTTTGATTCGACTTTAAAGATTTTTTGATGAAATTTTGTGGATAACCATTCTTTTTGAAGACCGTTTGTAGGTATTTTTTTCCATTCTTTTCAACTCTGGAGTGCTACAATGTGTTTGAACTCTTTTAAACAATGTCTGCACACAGTTTCCTTTGTGAGTAATTGGATTATTGCTAGTATAGTTGATAAACAGATATGGACTTAGGAATCACTAAACATCTAAGCATGTCGAACTGTCATTAAATATCACTTTGAGAGTCTTCAGTACTGGCTACAACCAACTCTAAGAGATTCAGAGTTTGGTATAATCATTACTTAATGTTTAAAACGTATAATGGTGTAATGTTCACCAGTTAAGTGAGAGTTCTAATTCGATTCTTAGCTGACGAACTCCTAAACTTCCCCCAGTTTAATAATCAATAGTAAGCCTGGAAAAGAGGGAAGGTTGAACATGAAGTTAACCACAATACCCCGTAAAAACAAAACCACAGCTTCTGAATCGTCAAAGCATGAAGCTCTGTGTTGCAGTTGAAACGCAAAGAAAAGAGAATAAGTAATAAGTAGATAGATTGTTGTCCTTACTGTTTTGTTCAAGTTCTGAAATATCACTATAGTTGTAAATCTGAATAAATCCTACAGTTGATGAAATCTTCCACTTTTGATTTAGACAGTTTGTAATTAAGCTAAAAGTCAGAAGAGTGATCATATGTTAAGTTTTTCTTACAATCAGTGTAAGATATTTTAGATAAACTAATCCAGCATGGAGTGTTCTCACAGTCAATAGATCTTATACTCTAGTTTAAATACAGTAGATAACAGGAAATCTCAGACTTCTTGCCTTTTTTAGAAATCTTAAACAGTAAAGAATGTAAATTACTGATTAGAAGTACTGTTTATAGTACTTTGTCAAGGCAAACACAGTCTTCACATTCTTAAATAACAATGAAAGTAGTGAAACCGTCTTAGGGGAAGTCAGCATTTGCATAACACAGCAGTAAACCATTATCATATGACTGATAATTGACATCTTATAATACATTCTATCACAATTCCGATTTTTCCATTGCATACAGTCATCATTCTTGAATATTAAGTAACTTTTTTTTAATAGATTAATTGTAATAATGTTTTTACCTTTAAGTATTGAAAAGGTTCAGATGGCTGTTTTTCATGACATTTTAAAGCAGGTTGTAATAAGGAGAAATCAAACACTGTCTAAAAAGAGGACAAAAATAAAGGTGTTTTTGTACAATATTTACCAATATCAATACAGTTAAGTCTAACGAAAATCTCTACAAAATGTTAAAATTTCAAATATAGAAAAAATCAAAGAACCACCAAAAATCAGGAAGTACTGGGGAACCACTTCGTCCTTGTCCAAAACTCTTCATGAGTACTCACTGAGGATCCCATCAGGGATTTGTGGCACTATCACTGGTCGCTATCGTCGCTAAGAACTTATCCTCACACCTGACCTGACAGACTCCACTGGAAACGACCTCTTATTACAATTTCAGACGAACTTATTTTTATTTTTTATTTTATTTTTTTTATTACAGCTTGATGCCACACCGTATTTTCAGTACAAGTATGGAATTTTCAGCATGGATATCGGTAGCCCAAATTATGCAGGCCGACCATAGATATCGGGTGTGTGTCGGCAGGGGATCGAACCCCGGACCATGTGCATGGTCGACGGGAGTCCTAACCACTGTGCCACCGACCATCACTAAGAACTTATCCTCATACCCGACCTGATAGACTCCTGATAGACTGGAAACGACCTCTTATTAGAATTTCAGACGAACTTATGCTGTAATTAATTACTAGTGACGCTGTAAATTACGATTTGGTTGACGTTAGAATTTACAGACCATTATATTAGGTTTCAGTAGATGACTGGCCAGCGGGATTGCCTGGTAACCTGAAGGTCTTGAGTTTAACCCTCGGTAGTGTCATGGGTACTTACCAATAAAGATGGGATAAAACAGCTCTCGAGTACTCCATGTTTTTCAGTGATCCTCTAACTGATATCAGTCCCTGATCTTAGTTAAAACTGTTATTTTAACCACGAATTACACTGGTTTCCTTATCTCATTCGCTACATGATAGGTGTGACTGTAGATGCAACAGCTAGTAGCAGTATTTCAAAATGAATTACTCCCTAATGAATGGAAAACAAAAGAAGATTGTTTTTGCTGACTTTTCGTCGTTTAATGCTTACAACAAACTTAAACATAAGCTGAGAATTTACTGCATTAAAGTTTATGCATTACAGCTTAATCAGGGTTCTTCTGTATAGATCCTAATCAGATCCCTCCAAACCAACATTTGAAAACTAAATTAAAATTTTCACTGGAGCTTTTCGTTATTGGCAAATTGCTCAATGACTCTTTACTTTGTTATTGTTGACATTAAGACTTGCAGTATTTTCTGTTTCCGTTGTTCAGACACTTAAAAAGTTCATTTGTGTTACGCAACCAGTTGTTTAAATAAGAATAAAGTATTGACAAATATAATATGATTAAACTATGTTGTTCAAGTACATTAAAAGGCCAGTTCTCGACTTTACAGTATCCTTTGGGACTTTTAAGAAACCTGGTATTTCATATGGATTGTTCTATTAACGTTAATTTATTTGATTAAGACAGTTTAATAAGCGTGTATTTATGATACAAGACATTATCTATCGTAAAACTTCTATCCTTCGTTTCGTCTTTAACACTGCTTGGATTCTCTGAAGTTGCCATGTAAGCAATGCAGGATTTGTATGTACATTTCTAACTTGAGAGACGTAAATCGCTTTATAAAGTTATAAACATAAATTTAATTAAAACGACATATTCAAGGTCAAAATAACAATGAAGACCACTAAACCAAATAACAGAGGTAATAGTACATCTGCTACGGTATCAAAACATAATTTACCAAGGAAGGTTTAATGTAATGACGAATTGTTTTTGAAAGCATAAAGGTGGTTTAAACTTTCTAATTGCTAGGGCTTCCACAAACTTTAGGATACATCCCAAACACGTCTTATAGATAGGTTTAAAAGATGTGTAAACGTCAATTTTAAGTACTGTCTCTATAATATGTTTCGCAATAGAAGTGCTAGGTCTCCTGTTCTCACCATTAATGGGTTCTGAAGATTCCATTTGTTTTTGGAGCCATTTGGGAATATGCTCTGAAGCCCTTACTTGCAGGGATTAATGAATCCTCCCTATGTATGTGTGTCCACACGTACATTCAAATTGGCAAATACGGTGGGATGTGACGTCATTTTTCGCATGTTCGAAGGGCTTAGATAGATATATTGGCTTTACATTCTCTATTATTATGATATTGGCTGCATAAAAAGTCTTTTTGACAGCAGCGTTCAGTCTTTGTCTAGTTATCAAGCTGCTTTGATGCTCCATATAGGGTAACTTGATGTACACGTCTTTCTTAGGGGCGAGTTGGAGAGTGGGTCCTGAAGTTCTGACTACTTTATATCTCCTGATGAACTTATCTGGATAGCTGTTATCAAACAGAGTTTGTGTCAACTTTCTTTCTTCTTCATCAAGTGTGTCTTCAGTGCATATTCGTTGGATTCTACTGAAGAGGCACCTTTCTGAGGCTCTTTTGTACCGAACAGGGCAGAAGCTGTGGTAATTAAGATACCGTCCTGTCCAGGCAGCTTTTCTATGAATAGATCTTTTTATTGATCTATCAAGCCGTCTGTCCACTAAGCAATTTATCTAGGAAAGATAAACAATTATCTTCTTCTTCTAGAGACGTAAATGATATGCCATTCTGAACTTCATTCATTCGATTTAAAATTGAGGTGGCAGAAAAAGACTTATCACTGATGATTACAATATCATCTACATACCTTCTATAAAGAGGCACATTTTCGATTAAGTCCTTCGATAAATTCTCAATGTACGACATGTAAATATCTGCTAAAAGGGGCCCTAACGAACTTCCCATAGTAACACCATAAGCTTGGCGGAAATAATCGCCTTCAAATGTTAACCTAACATTGTTAGTACATAGAAGTAATGAATCCCTTAAATATGATATAGGAAACGGGATGAAAAAATTGTTTGTGGAAATGTAATCACACAAAATGTCAACTGTTTTGATCAAAGGTACATTAGTGAATAACGAGTTTACATCAAAAGGGTGCATACTCTTATTCATAATATTAATATTGTCAAGAAAATTAACCAGTTCAAATGTATCTTTTAACACATACTCTTACAGAATTGTGTTTTGACTGGATGCAATAATTCTACTAACCATTTAGCAAGTTTATGTGTTGGGGATTTGCACATTGACAACATAGGACGTAGAGGATTATTGGGTTTATGTATTTTGGCAAACCATACATATGCAGGAATTTACATTCTGATGGTTTTAAAGAATCAAATTTATCTTTACTTATAGCATTTAGGCCATGAAGCTTCACTAGATTAGCTGTCACTGTGCCCTGCGACAACTGAATATCTTCTGAGGAGGGATCACGGCTAAATTTGCTTTCATCATCAAGAATAGACATCATTTTAGATTTGTAGTCACTTTTATTCATAATGACGACTCCAGAACCTTTATCAGGTTTCGTAATAATTATATTAGAATTTTCCCGTAGCTCTTTCAATGCTTTGGAATGCTGGGAATTTCAAATACTTTCCTCCTTTGGGTTGTTGTTTAAAAACTGGTGAGCTATATCCACCATCTTAAAGATGTAGAGACCGCCTACTAAAACTCGCTATACTGGCGGTGACAGGACTGGGTTGAAGTTAGTTTCAAACTTTCTAAACCAAAAAGCATAAACACTTTGATTTAACTATGGATAATTCACTCGGAGAAAGTTTGACTAAACTTATTTCGATAGTGTGACTATATGACAGACTTCTCTTGATGTAATGAGTGATAGTTGCTGACGGGTTTCAGTTCGAAGTTAGATGGTAGAATGTCAGTGGTTTCTGGTTCGAATCCAAACGGAGCCCAGGTTTTCACCATAAGTCCAGCTATCATCTACTACTCTTATTATGCGAAGTATGAAATACTCTAATGATTAAGTAACAATTTCTCTATTCTGATTGGTAATCTGCGGAGTAAGCAATCTCTTGACAACTGGTTCTAATTTAAGGTAAACATTAAGCTAGAACATCCATCATTTTGTTACATTCTGATTAATGTCAAGTGATTACAGGCAGTTAGCAAGAAACTTTGAATTTAAGTATTGTGCTTACGGTGCTCATCATCATGATGTGTTTTTAAGTCTCAAGGGAATCGTTAACACTTTAGAGACTGAAACCTTGTCAGCCTAGTGTTATAGTCTGTAACTTTACAATTGACCTTATATGAAGAACAGGATATGAGTGTAATAACAGTCTCACTTACGAATAATAGGTCGAAAAATTTTTCGCACATCAGCAGAAGTTATCTACTTACCACATGGTCACAATTATTCACTTTTCCTTGTTCAGTTATATAACGATCGAAAACCATCTGTAATCAGTAAAACATGAAACGGTGGATTAAAGTACATTGACATAATTAAGGTACTGATAATTATCGTCATTGAAATTAATAATTCTTCGTTTTTTCTTTTGCTGACTCATGAGTATGTAGCTTGGAATATATCCTTCTGACTATTGAAATAATAGATTCTGAATTAGAGTCATGATGGGAATGAGATCACTGAGTGGGATTCATTTAATTTTTTAAAATTTAATATTAATTTTTGATTGTAGTTTGATTTCACACAGTACTTTTGGTAGAAGTATGCGATTTTCAGCATGTGATATCGGTAGTCCAAATTTTGCAGGCCGACAAATTGGTATGAGGTATACGTCGGTAGAAAATCGAACCCTGGACCATTTGCATGGTCGGCGAGAGTCCTAACCTCTGTGTCACCGACGCATTTAGTTGGTAATCCCCAGAGTGGAGAGAATTTTTACATTTTTGACCCACTTTCAGCCAACACCAAATAGACAACATACATAACTAACATTTATTTTACTGAAAGTGAACATACCAAACAGATATCAGGCATGTATTCAATCATTTCTTTGAATGGACAGTAATCTGAATTAGACAGTAATTCCATGATATCCGGCCATCTAAAAAGGTTAATGATGATAAACGACAGTTTTATTTTCATTTAAAAAGCGTTGACATTTTACATACTGTTTCAGTGAATGAAGATAAATTCCTACATAGTTAGGTTTAGTTAGATATACTTGCTAATCAAGCCTGGACAACTTAGTGTTACATTTTTTCTAATCTTAATATTCTATCATTTTGAAAATCCCCCAAATTATTTGTCGAAGTTATTTTAAATTCCCTGTTGATTAGTCATGTAGAACTGAAATGCTCGGTTTGTGTTGTTGCGTCTACTCCTAGCGTGAATGCTTTGATGATGTCATGAAATAAAGATGAAACTTTTGATTCTGGGTTCGAGTCCCGATGGGGACACACATTCACCGAGAATGTAGACACATACAAACAGATTCCACTGCTGGTCATTGCCAAACAAATAACTTAATCGGTTACAGGACTGCATTATGAGCTAACATCGGTTAGAGAACCATTGGAAAACCTGGGAGTACTGGACAGCTGTTTCGTCCTAGTTTGGGACTCTTCATCAGTACGTACCCACCGGGGTTCGAACCCAGGACCTTCTGGTTACAAGGCGAGCTCGCATACCATTAAGCCACTGGGACCGGATCCAATGGCCCATGAATTCTAACTTCTAACAATTCACGATATAGAGCAACCACTAGCCAATGTCTTCGGCAAGTATTTGTCCTCACACCCGACCTGCTGCACCCTACTTGTCATAACTTCCCACTGGAACCCCAGTAACTAAATAACTTGATCATGTATTATCTATATGAATCTGAGTTGAAGAAGTAATTCAATTACCTTTAACTACTTGAGGAAGGAGTTCCTCGCCTCACCTGTGAAATCGCTATTTTTCAGCTGTATAACGTATCTTTCAGCAAGTTAAAGGCATGCAAGTTAACCTGCTTGTATGAATATATGCACGGGGGCTGTTCTGTGCATACTGTATGCATAAACGTTAAAGAATCTTATTCTCTTTGTTTTTAAGTGTACCTGTCATAAATGCAAACATTAAAAGTCTCGTGTCACTGGCAAGAATTTTCAAGTAGTGTATTGATGATGTCTTCTGAAGGACTCTTGAGTAGAGGAGTCAATTGCGAAAAGGAGAAATGAAGATTGCTGTGAAACTATATAAAAAGCATGAAATGAAGATAAAAGACGCAGAGTACGACTAACGTTTGCAGAATGAAGTTTCAATGCATGATTTTTAGTTTGGGCATTAACTTACATCATCTTACGAAATAAATAGTTCTGCTACTAACCCCCCCCCCCCCTGTGTTCTACCGTTATATTTAATCCGATTTATCAGTTGAAGTCGAAAGAATTTTTTCCAAACATTGTAGATTCTTGACACATTTATGAAACAGAAGCTGTTGCCTTTTTCGGACATATTTCTGCCTTAGTCTTAGTTTATGGTTTCAAATGTTAGCCACCTGCAAACAAATACTATCTGTATTATATATCCATACTATTTTATGATGACACTCCATCTGGAAATAGTGTTTTTATGTTAGATGAGACCTGCTGTTTGAATTTATTTACTCTCTCTTTTGTCATTAGTATTTTAACTTTCGTGAAAATTATGAATTTCATTTAGAGATCTATAAAACACAAAATAATTGAGCAAAGAATATCCTTTTCGGTAATTTCCTCTTCTGGCTCTACAATTATATATATGTTTATATACATGGAAAATTCTAGAATAGTAGTCAATAACAATATTCGTGCTTTTTAAATAATGTCGATTTGTAAAGTAAGATCAATGGCATTACAATTCATTAAATAATAATAATAAAGATACAGTAGTAATTAAAAATATCAACTGAAATTAGGAAAATTCCACAAAAATTCAGGATCATTCAAACCTAGATGGCCAAAGTAAGGATAATGTCTGAACTAACTTCTTTTGGACGCACAAATTAGGCTTCTTAATATGGATCCCAACGGCCTCAGCAATGTTTAGTAGTCGAACTCTTAAGGCGAAATTGAGATTTGTTGGTATGCGATAAATGACTCTGAAAGCCTGGTTCACATCAATTTTGTGTTCTGTATCCACAAAATGAGATGGAATGGCGCTAGGAATAGATTTTGTTTGTCCTTCACTCAACCACACAGAGTGGACTTTGTATGCGAAGAACTTATAAGACGAAACATCGATGTTGGCATTCCTATATCTTTTATGAAAGGGCTTCTCTTGAGATGACCAGTAAATGTCCAAATTTTATTTAATAACAAACTATATATACAAACCGACGGTGTTGCGATGGGGTCACCACTAGGACCCATTCTAGCCGACATTTTCCTTGCTAAACTAGAAAATGGGCCTCTGAAGGATGTTATTGATGAAGTTGAAATCTACTGTCGGAACATGGATACACATTTTTGATTATGAAAAATGAGGAGGAAGCAAAGAACATCCTGGATAAATTTAACGAGGTTCATCCTGCAATAAATTTTACTATTGAGAAAGAAAAGGACTAGTATTTCATTTCTAGACGTCCTTATGACCAGAAAAGAGGATGGCTCAACAAGAAGAAGTGTATATAGAAAACCTACACCAAAGGGTCAGTTTACTCATTTTTTCAGCTTCATGTCCTTAAAATACAAACGCAATCTGATAAAGTGCTTGGTTCACAGAGCAAGAGCAATTTGCTCGGATGAATGTCTCGATGAGGGATTTAATAATATTAAACAGTCGCTGGGTGAAAACGGTTATCCAGAAAAGTTTATTGATAAGAATATGAATCAAAAATCAAGGCAGCCAAGGTTACAACAGTTCCTAAAAAGGCCTTACTCTTACAAATGCAGTTCCTAGGTGACAGCATCAGCGAGATACTAACACAGCGCCTTAGAAATGCGGTAAAAAGAGCATTCCCTGCTGCTGAATTACTCCACGTCTTCAAAACCACCCCCATTTTGCGTTCGGGAGTAAAAGATAAACTGCCTGATTTTACATCTTTCATGCGTATCTACCAGTTTAACTGCTCCTGTGGAGCCAGTTACATAGGCCATACAATTAGGTGTGTTTCTCGTCAAATTTCCGAACATCACCCTCTGGGGTTAAGTAAAGGACAGACAAAATCTATTCCTAGCGCCATTCCATCTCATTTTGTGGATACAGAACACAAAATTGATGTGAACCAGGCTTTCAGAGTCATTTATCGCATACCAACAAATCTCAATTTGCCTTAAGAGTCCGATTTCTAAATATTGCTGAGGCTGGCTGTTGAGATCCATATTAAGAAGCCTAATTTGTGCATCCAAAAGAATTTAGTTCAGACATTATCCTTACTTTGGCCATCTAGGTTTGAATGATCCTGAATTTTTGTGGAATTTTCCTAATTTCAGTTGATATTTTTATTTGCTACTGTATCTTTATTATTATTATAATTTAAGCATCTTTAATGAACTGTAATGCCATTGTTCTTACTTTGCAAATCGATATTATTTAAAAAGCACGAATATTGTTATTGACTACTATTCTAGAGTATTTTATGTATATAAACATGTATATATATATATATACATATATAAAATTGTAGAGCCAGAAGAGGAAATTATCGAAAAGGATACTCTTTGCTCAGTTATGAATTTATTCCTACATTAAAAATTGATTTAAAAAATCTTCATTTAACTAGTGACTGACAAGTATTATTACTGTGAAAAAAATTTCACCATTATAACACATTCCTTGGAAACATCGAATCTTCTCCTATATATTAATCAGTCTTTTTAAAATGCATGCAGCAAAAGAACGTTAAGATATGCTGACTTTAGTTTATGTGGTTAAATATGATAAAAAAGGAGTTCTACCGAGAAGTCGTTGGTCGTATTTCATGTACGGTGGAGGGGAACGTTTTAGATATTTTGGATAGTCCATATCTGAAGTCGATATCACTTTTAATCACCAAATACTCTTGAATTTCTGTCCTGAATTTTCCGTACTTAAACACCTTTAAATAGATGAGAATCAATTGTCGCTCAAAGTGACTGATAAACTCATCAGTTTCAGTCAACCTACATGAGTTTCATAGTAAAAAATTAGCATTAGGTGACGTTAAAAAGTACTTTGAAGAGAGAGTGAACAGTGCATGAAACTGTTCAGACATGAACGAGTGTGGTTGGACTGCATTTGTTGCGAATTCATCTAGTGAGCATAATTCATGCTTGGATATATTGTCCGCCTTTCAGTTTTTGTCTTACTGCAGGCACCTTCCAATTTTTAGGTATAGGTGGTGTGTCTGTCACGTGTCAGACGCCTTCGAGGATGTAAGAATATACTTGTAATTGCCTTTTATCAGGGTACCCACTAGGACTAACACTGCCGTCTGTCTGCTGTAGTCACACCGATCAGATCTAATAACTTTGGGCTTGGATAGGTTGGCAGGTGATTCACTGGGCCATTCTATGGGCTATGAGTCTTGCTAGCATGGTGTATGGGATCTTAATGGTGTATCCAAGACGATGACTATGCATTTGTGCTCTGTTCTTTAGGCGGGGTTGAATGTGATTTACTTGTTGCTAGTTTCGGCTGATCAGTTGATGCCTTGATCCTTTTCAGCTGGCAGTCGTGTGCATGTAATGGTTTGGGCCAATAACCTGTGGTGTTGTGGTAACTTGTCTTGAAACACAGATCAAGGCGTTTTAATATGAGCGAGCCAATAGGCGTTACAAAAATTAGAGTCGTAGTGAAGGTAAATATCCGACTTGTCTGGACTTGGGTGATATCCTGTTGTTTCGTTTTTAAATTCTAGGATGCGAGCAGCAAGCGCATCACTGATTTTTCCTATGACGCTGAAATTCGACCTTCTGCTGTGTATCGTCATCGTGGAACAACAGCCTACATGCTGAGTTCTGAAACATGGTGAACTATGTTTGCAAAGGTTGAAGCCAGATGAAATTCTTGTGGAGGACGTGAAAGTCAATCTTATATGTGAGAATAGGGAGTGAAAAACTAATTGTTTAGTCGAATTTTGTGACTATTTTAGTCGTCAAGACGAAAAACTGATATAAAATCAAAATTCCTGGCACAACGATAAAGCAGAATTCCAGGTTGGTTCATTTCCATAGTTTTTCTCATTATAATGATACAATATAATTTATTGAAAGACGTAATCGTGTTTAGGGGATTTGAACTGACGTTAGTCAGTAATAAAGAAAATGCTCGTACAGTAAAGCTATTTAGAGATCAATTAAATCTTAACCATTAAGGAAGTGAAGTCTACAGTGGTGCTCGATTTAGAATACTCTGTGCTATCTGAATGTTCACAATGTGTTAAAATCCTTTGGTGTTTGCTTACTTCCAAAACTTTACTGTTTAAATCTTTTCAGTATTAAAAACAAAAACACATCCATATATGATAATGACAGATTCAATGGAAATATAATCACATAATCATTTAAGGTAAGCTTTACAGTAATTTCTAAACAAAATAAATAAACTGTCATGAAAATTTTACGTTTGAAGCTAACCTTTTATGTAAGACTATCTCTTTAACGACTGCTTCATTACGTTTTCTAATTGCATAATTCGAGAAATATAATCCACTGTGGTCTGGTTTAATTTCTGCTCCAATGGACAGTAAGTATTCAACTGTATGACTATTATTTCTAATAGCAGCTAAATGCAATGCAGTTGTCTGAAAATCAATTGGTGAGAAAGTTTATAAATATTATTACACTACTTAAAACATTTTAAGTAGTATAATGTTTAAAAAGTCGGTTTTATTTCGTATTTACGAAGATAATGTAAACGGAAAATTCTAAGTCCTAATCATAAAACCAAATGACTCCAATTCAATAAAATGAAAACCATTTATAACCACTGTCGTCAAGAGACACAGTGATGTCAATCAAGGAGAATTCAAATGAGTTCAATTCATTGTTTGTTTTGAGTTGAATTCGAATTTCATGTTGTTTCATTGAACCGAAATGTTCAGTCTGTATTGACATTTTGGCCTCTTGTACGGACGTGTCAAAGATTTCAGATGATCAACATGGATTCCACTGCTAGTTGCTGCCTAATAAGTTTAATCCATTTCTAAGTTTGCTCGGAAGATTTTATCTAGAAAGATGATAAATGCTTAGAAATTAAGCCACCTAGCGCAGAGAGTATAACCACATCAAAACAATCCATCTGAGCCATAAATCTTCTCCAGTATTTCAGGAGAAGTTAAAGAGACTATGAATTATTTCCAAAGGCAGTATATGTGTATTTATACTCATCAAACCAATCAGATACCGGTAATTATGTTTTAGTAAATGTTTTATGTAATATGATGAGTGATCTTCAACGGAATACACATGAAGAGGAAAAGAAAGAGGAGCTGGTGTTACATTATGAGTATAAAAATAACCTGGGTGGTCTGAACGTACGAAATGAAGAACGACAGTTGTAAAATGGTAATGTGTTTGTGCGAAAAGGAATGTTTATAGGCAAGATGGAGTATAAAACGAGTACTGTATAAATTAGACTTCAAAATAACCAGTACATTTACTAAGTTTAATGCTATTAGATAAAACAAGGGGAGCAGTAGACTTCTGAAGATAGTGAGTGAAGTGATTTTAATTTTTACAAGGAAAATTTTTATGTATTTTACAGTGGCACCTACATACTATTAGAGATTTTCTGAAAAGTTTGAGAAAAGAGAGGTATGGGATATTTTCGAGGTATTAAATTAATTCATTTGACATCGGCTTTTCGCAACTTACTCAAATTACAATTTTTCTTCATATTATTAAATGTGAATTGTTATCTTCTTTCAATAAATCCAAGGTTATTATTATTCATTCCTTACGTTCCAAATAGAATATATAGTCTCAGTAGAACATCTCCACTGTGCCCTGTTGTCTATTGTTATTCTTAACTAGCTCGACTACTGCCCACAAGCTCTCCTCTCCTCCTCCTACTCAGCTGATCTCTTCCATGTCATTTTCGGACCTACTCCGAAATTACCTATTCCTGTTCTGGTTCTCCTCGAAAGATTAGCATATGATGTCACTGGAATGTCTCCCCAGAGTATGCTGGATGCGTCTCCACTTCTTTATGAATATTTCCCGAGTAAATTGATTCTTGGTTGGTTCTCTGCACCACCAGAGTCCCGTCTTACTTATCCTTTCCATCCGGTCATCCAATTTTCAGTATAAGTGAGCGAAGGCAGCTGTTGATGATACATTGCAGTCTATTAAAAGGCTTCTCAAGACTCAAGAGCTAAGTTCTCTAACCATACAGAAACATTTATTTGATATTAATGTTAAAAAATTTGGATGTTCTTCCATGTGGTAAATACTGTAGATTTCCACACGCTGATTTCAGAGGGATGAACGCCTTTCTTCCCTTCCCTACTATGGTAGACTTTTACATCATCATGCATATTGCCTGTAGTTGAAACAATGCAGCCTAAACACTTAGATGTGAGGGTCGATTTATGAAAGGCATAAATATTTCACCTTTTTGGTACATATTCATAATTTATTAAAATATCGTTATTTTATACAATAATTCCCCCCAACAAATTTGAACAAAGTAATAACAACTCAAGGTACCGGATAAAGAGGACGCAATGTTTGCTTCGTTGGTATTCAAATAAGAAAAGTTAATAGTTCTATTATAGTTTTAAAATACTTTAATTCAATACAGATGGAATGTTTCATCCAAACAACAGAAGGGAATATTTCTCCTTAAAACATTCAATATATTACAAATGCCTTAATCAACGTATTAATTAATATATATGTCAGCAGATGTGTAGAATTTATAGGCAATGAACCTACCCCATTGTAGTTGGTTTGATTTAATAATGTAGGATTAATTTCTAATAGAATTCGACAAGTTTCTACATTCTTCTGCATTGCAGCATAATGTAGTGCAGTGTTTCCTTCATGACATCTGTGAATAAGAGTTTAGTTTACAGAATTAGTTTGGGTGAGGCCTATATATATCGCAATTACTAACATAATATACTGGTACTATACGAGATTAGATTTTTTTTCTATTAAATTGTAAAACCACCTTCTCTTTATAAAAGTAACGGAACAATAAAGATGATTTGATTTCCACAACGCGAACCACTATTTACTTACTACCCTGTAATATTCATATTCGTAGTGGATTCTTGATTATTAATCTATTTGACTGGTTTTGCATTATTTGAATAATGACAATCTTTCATCTATGTAGACATACAGTTTACATGTTTGTTGATTACTACCTTTTGTAAATTCCCAGATTTTGAATATTCTCCGTAGACTTTTCAAGCTTACTTGTTACAGAAATATCACGTTTCGGAAAATTGGATTGTAGCCTATTGGTTAGTCACTGAGGTCATTCAGTTTCCAGCCCCCTCAGGGACATTTTTCTCTTTTAGGTTGTAGGCACCCTACTGGTGAGTGCTGGTCAAAAATAAACCTGTTTCCAAGGTATCCCGGTGATTGCCTTCAGACACCTAATATTGAATATGATGTCTGTTATTTGTGTGGATTTGTGTGGTCACGAATACTAAGTGATGTTATTTTACAATATGTTAACGTACATGGGTCATTTAAGCGGTTTACGGACTTGATTATTGGAATTCTGTTATTTATTCCATCCTCATATGGAAAATTCTTATCATAAAACAAAGATATTAAGGAAATTCGCCCTATTTTCATATTTATCAGATTTATCTAAATCTGCTGAAGAAGCTGTGGCTTACACAGCAAAACGTTGAGAAAAATCTTGTTTTGATTTTCTTAAACACGCTGGGATTAATTTAAATAATTTATAATGAGTTTTCAGTTTTATTCGGAATTACAAATTTACTGTGTTATCACAAAACGTCTTCTGCCTGTCACTTCATTGTTTCAGGACAATTTAGAGTCTAATATTTATCGATTTTTTTCATTCCTTGCTTTCCGATTGGAACACAGATCATCAAGCTATGAAGTTTCAGTAGCACTGGGGTTGCCCTGGCTCTCACCCGACCCACTCTCTTCTTTGGGTTTATTACCGGCTAGGAAACTACGTGAGGTTTCAGATGGCGTCGGCCAGCAATTAAACCCGGACCTCCCGCATTGCTAGTGAGCGCTTTACCTCCAAACCACCGTAACATATATTGACTTGGTTAATGTTATTATCCTTGGGGAAGTGGTACATCTTTAAAACTCACCTTCTAAACAAACAACCATTTTGTATGAATAACTCTAACAGCTTATTATGTCCAAATAAAGCTGCTATATGTAATGGTAGACGACCTTTACTATCAGCCATTGACAATGTTCTCATACCTTCAGTTGTATTCAGTATTGCCTGTGATATATGCAAACGACCATATTTAGCTGCAATATGAAGTGGACTACTTTTGTCCTTACTGATAATTGTCACATTTGCACCAAACTGTAAACAGAATTGACTGGTTTTGATAAGATTCAATTCAACTGCATAATGTAATGGTGTAAATCCGAAATTATCAACATCATTTAGTAATTCAGGTAACTCTTTTAGCTAAATAAATATTTTTGATTGTAAAAGAAGAAAAAGATAAGCAGAGATTTATTTAACTTATAGTTCGAATAGTAAAAATACTTTCACAGTTAAAGACAGCTCATGTATAGTTGAGGTAATTACTCTTACCTATGCCAAGATTCGAATTCTTATCTAGTAAATAGTTTGGTGTATCGCTAGTTCAGTGAAACAATACTGTCTAAACACGCAAATTGTCCAGATTCGCTTTGCGGCTGACGCACTCCGAAACCTCATCTAGTCTACTAGGCGATGGCGAGCATGGAAAAAAAGGTAGGTTCAGGGTGAGGTTAATGACCTGACTTTCTAAGAACAATACAGCTGCTACTGAGACTGTACAGCTTAGATCCCCATGTTCCAAGCTGAGAGCAATGATAAAACTCTGGTAAACAATAACCAAGTACTCATTCTGTATCACATTTCACCGTATTCATGTATCCACATTCATTCAATGGCTATCATAGTGAAGGAAGATAGAGATAGCTTTTAATTGCACTGATTGGTCACTTGGGAATAACCGACATCCTGTGTCTAGTTCTTAGTTGTTAGTACTGGCTGAATTTTTTCAGCAAGGCTTACAATGTGGTCACCAATCTTGATGACTCTTCGTCATAGTGCAATTTGTATAAATGTAAAGTAGTCGAATGCAGTCAGCAAGGAATCCTGGTCCCAGGTTCAATTCTTATTGGCTCCATTCAGTAAGGCGCATGTGTGACATCGAAGAGACTGGTACCCCCTCGGAGATTAGAACCGATATCTCCCAATTTTTCAGTATAGGAGGTTGTTACGGAGTTTTTCAAGCTGACAACTGGCAATAATCACGAAAACTAGTTCTAGTAATGCCTGTCGATCACCTAGTACAGTTCTTCATTATTTCGGATGACTCACAGTTATTCCCACGTAGTTGAAAAGCCTCCTGTGCTTCCATATGAAGTGATTTCACGAAAGAAGAAAATTCAAACTACAAGCTTGACCAGAGATTATCCAGTAAATTTTCACTGAATCAGGTGTCCCGAATTCGTTCTGTAAATTCAAGTCAGGCGAAGACATTGATAAAACTAACAACGATAATTTATCCTTGAAAGAAAACCTTTTTAAATCTAATGACATGCTTTCTCTGAGGTCAAAGATAAGAGAGAATATTCAGTTTATTTTTGATCAGAAGTGCAGGTAAAAGGTACTGACTTCTAAGGTATTCTGATCTCAGCAGACAATAGGCTATTTCCTCATGAACCATAATAACTAACCAACAGAAATAATTCACTTGAAAAGTTTTATGTCGCAGAGATCCTTGTTATTCTAGCCAGTAAAAGCATCTACACAAGGATCATGATACGTAATCTAGTTGTTAAATAAATTTGACGATTTCTGCAGCGGTATCTCAGCATGCATTATTGAGCTTTTTCTCAAACCTCAGTTATCCTAGGAAAAGTTGAACCTGATATTTATTAGTTCACATTTTAATATCAGTTTACTTCAGTCAAGATTATCACCTGGTTACTTCCTTCATTTGGGTGGCAGACTGTGTAGAGACGATCGCCAACTGCAATACTGTAGTAGCCAAACAGATGGACAAGAATCAAAATTCAGATAACTCGGGGAATTATTAGAATGAAAGCGTATTAATAATAATATTATGTCTATTTTCTAAAGTGTTTATATAATGTACAAAATTTTCAGCAGAGTTTATTGCATGATATTTTCTCCTCATCCAGAATCTTCAAATCAAATATTAATCGACAGTAGATCGTGTGACACAGTGCTATCAAACCAAGATCGAAAAGCGACCCTTCATAATATTCCTTCCTTGTCTCCCTCGATAAATGCACGATATTTGATTGAAAGACAAATGTTAAAAGTTCCGGAGTACATTTTGAGACTCGAGAATGGTCATTTTATGTAATTGGATACGCTGTGACCCACGATTATGCTTTTTCTTAAGTTTAGTGGAAACTCGAGAATAAGCAGGTTGTATACAATTTAAATACACGCGAGAGTAAATAATGCCATTAGCTGTTATATTTTAAAAGAGTGAAATACGCTGAACAAGAGAAATTCTATACAATATGATGACAGAGGTGTTTTCGGTAGCCTAAATCTTAAGCAGACCGTTGTCTAGCAATCTTAGTCGTTAAAAAAGTAGTGGATTTGTGAATGCTATAAAAGAATAGCTGACATCTGTCAGTGTTAGTTATATTACTCAACATAATTTAAAAGATTGAATAAGAATTAACTGTCAAACTACAGCTAACTTTAACACCTTTCAGTCATTCTGAATAATACTAATAATTTTCAAGTATTGATTTGTGGGGATTTTGTTTGATTGATTGGAGGATTTGATCATCAGCTGACAGCAGTTAGAGAAATCCTCCAACCAATCATACAAAATCCCTATAAAACCAATACCTGAAAACTGATCTGATGCTCACTAGTGACTGGCCTTATTCACGCAGTGACCTGGGGTTCTACTGGGCAGTCATGACCAGTAAGGTACAGTAGGTCGAAGGTGAGGACAGATACTTATCGAAGACATTGCTAAGTGGTCACGCCATGTCGTGAATTGGTAGAGGTTGAAATTCATGGAGTGGCCATTGGATTGGATACCAGTTGCTTAATGGTCTCCTAGCTCACTAGCTTTGTAACCAGAATGTCCTGGGTTCGAAGCGTGGCTGTGTGTGCGTACTGATGAAGAGTACCGAACTAGGCCAACGAAACCGCTGTCCACAACTTCCAGGTAGTTTTCCAATGGCTCTCTAACTGATGTCGGCGCATGATTGAATTCTCCAGCCAATAACAGTTATAATAAAATTAATTGCAATATAGAATATTTATCTAATAGCTTACAGTTTTTAAAGATTCGATTGAATCACAAATTTCCTCACAATGACTTAATATAAGTAAATGCAATAAATTACGATGCTTTGAATCATGATGCATTAATTTCACTTCTTTTTTCAATAGATAATTACACACTTGTACTGAGCCTTTTATTGCAGCTGACATAATGGGTGTATTACCGTTTATATCAGGTTTATTGATTACTGCTCCCTAAATGAAACAATACAGAAATAGAAAGCAAATTAAGAATATAACATTGAATTAAGTCGAAAGATGACTATTTATGTTTAATTTTTAGTTATATCGTAAACAGAGTAAGATTACTGAGTGGATGAGTGTTCATTTTCTTGAGATTATTGAAGATAATACAAGCATTAAATAAGTTTTGCTAAAGTAGAACTTGGTAATTGGAAAACTAGTTAACACCAGACTGAAATCCAGAGGGCCAGGTGATAGATAGTTGAGAAAATGAACATAAATGTACATTATTATTTGTAATTATTAGCAGAGAAACAGCGTCTTCTGATTGGTTGTTTTCTCGCTGAAAGTTAATCTGTCATCTCTTTGTGGCTGTTTCTTTGATGGACAGACCATATATCTGTGAATCGTATCCGCCCACGCAAAGTCTTTGTTCTTTTTTTTCTCGTGAACACAATTCGGGAAGTGAACATTGACGTAAATTGCTGTCCACCAATTTTGACTAGCAGACACCTCTCACCACACACGTATGATTCACTCCATAAAAGGAGACTAAAGAGATTTAGATGGAATAGTAACCGTAGTACACAAGAGTATTTGATAGCTTTCTTTATCTCACAAGGACCTGCATTTCTCTTTTTCACAACTTAATCCGTCCCTCCGCCATCCAAGATTCATGCATGTGACGAACCATATACACAGTGAACTATTTACAGATTCCACAGAACAACTGGAAACGAATTACAGTAGTCTTACTCTTGTTGGAACTGTGACTGCATACAGCATCATATTTCTGGTCTTTTCAAATCCCCATTCTGGACACTTTTGCAGATGTTGAAACTGGCCTCGTTTTTTCTCTTAGTCTAATGCACACTTACTTCATTTAATTAGTATGAAGTATAGCACTTTGAGTCTGTATGTCTCATTTCTGGACTGTATGTTCGTTACGACTGCTAAAGCAATATACATCAGACCAAGAAGTTCTGAGGAAACTGCCTCCTTTGGAATACTAAGTAATCATCATAAGAAGTTCGGTGGTCAGCTGATAAAAGCTAACTTAAACAAGTCTTCATTAAATGACTAATTGTATAAGGATTCAAGTAAGCCCATGATTGATTTTGTCACGAACTAGCGTCATAAAAAAGAAACACTGCAGATAAATAGAGTGATCACAGTGGGTTTTTAATCGCTGGTTAGTGTCAAAATAAACCTAGTCAATTCTCCAATGCATTTTTGTTCTCAGTGGTTTTTCTCCAGCTAACTGTGGTTGATCACAGAATCATTCTTTCTGACTGATGCTATCAATGGTTCCGCTTTAAATTGTTTTGATAGAAAGATGCAGAATGTAGTGCAGGATAACAGTTCGATTTTCTAATGCTTTCCCTGCACAGAAACGGAAACCAAGGATTCCCTTAATGTTTATATTTAGACTTACTTGTAAAGGCTTGTATTTAGTTTTACTGGGAAGTATGTTCAAAGATATAGTTCCTTCTTCCTATCATCTGCTTTTAACTGCATTGCACTTTTCATTGTAATATAGTACAGATTAAGTACACGCTTAAATATTCAAATTAATTCAGTTCTCAGTGAGTGATAAGTTTCATAAAGCATTTTGAATTGCAGAGACTAGCAATATGAATTCATTAAAGAAGTAAAGCATGAATGGATTCACCTGAGAGGATAGTGCTTTTAGGTGAGTTTTTTAAAACAAATACAAACCACTTAATTCGTGGATGGTGACTACCAGTGGAATCCAGAATGCGCATTTCGTCCTACTTGGGACTCGTCACTGGATGTGCCTGCATTCCCCAGTGAGTGATGATGTTTCCACAGAGGCTGAAACCAAGTGCCCACAGTTTCAAACGCCAAAGCGTTATCCACTAGACCACTTGGGCCACGAAAGCCACCTCTTGTGCAACGGGTCATATTAATTTAATTGAATTTGAGATTTTTACGTCTATTGATTGAACTGAAGTGCTCCGTTTCAAGTTGATCGAGTTAGTACGAACAGAGTCTTAACTGAATCTTTTCTTTTTATTCACAGAATATTGAAATTATCCATTAAAGCATTTAATGTGAATTGTAGCCTCCTGTAGTTTAAAAGTTTTTGTAAATTTTTCATGTATCTGGTCCATGTCTGTCATTCTACGTTTACTGTGTACAGAACACTACTTTTTCCCCCTACTGTTCATCCAAGTAGCCATCATGGAGGCAGGTAACCAAAATCATTTACATAAAGTTGCTAGTGCAGTTTGAGAAGTCTACTTTCGGCACCATGGTTGTGAGTATGCTCACTTTCCACTTTCGCATTCCAGAAAACCTGCTTAGATTTAATTTCATTGAGGAGAGTTCCGTTATTTTCGACCAAACATAATTTCTGACGGAGAAAATTGATTTGGAATAGAAGGCATTTTCGGGTGTCATGTGATAAAGGAACAAAAATTTTTGTCCAAAGTTTTTTTCTATCTTTATCAAAATGTTAGTTTTGTATTTCAAACAGAGGCGGAAAACAGTCAAGACTTCACCAGCTGTATATTATTTACGCAGATATATTCTTACTCGACCTAATAAGGCCAGATGCATGTTGAATTTACTTAGATTAATGGTTTAACTAAGCAGACATGTTATACGTAATCATAAGTGGATATCGAACCTTCGATTTTTAAAAAATAACTAATGTCATGTGTTGGTTTGTGGGGATTTTATTTGATTGCTTGAAGGATTTCATCATCAGCTAACGTCAATTAGAGAACCATTGGAAAAAAACTTGAGAGTACTGAATGGTTTTTTCGTCAGCCTAGTTTGGGACTCTTCGACAATACGCACCCACCGGAATTCGAACCCGGAACCTTCTGATGCTCACTAGCAACTGGCTGTTACAGGTAGGTAGTTACCTGGGGTTCTATTGAGAAGTCGTGACCAGTTGCGTACGGCAGGTCGAAGGTGAAGCAGTAACTCATAGAAGAAGACACTGCGAAGTGGTCGTGCTATGTCATGAAATGGCAGAAGTTAGAATTCATGGGCGGGCTATTGGGTCGGTTGGGTCCCAGTGAGTGGCTTATTGGTCTACGAATTCGCTTTGTAACCAGAATGCCCTGAGTTCGAACCGTGGCGGTGGGTGCGTACTGTTGAAAAGCACCAAACTAGGTTGACGAAACCGATGTTCACTACTCCCAGGTTCTGATGTGAGCTCATAATGAAATCCTCCAACCAATAACTAATGTCACCTTTTAACTAAGATTGTATTTAGGAATGATTAAATGAAGCAGTACTGACAATGACCACTAAACTGAAGTCGGAATCTGTTCATTAGAGCTGCTTGTTGAAGAGTAGGTCAAGTACTGCAATACTTCAGTCGAAAGCAATAAAAGATTCAGAGGTAATCAGCCACAAGGAAAGCCACTAAATACCAATGTCTTATTATTTGGATAAAATAAGTAAAACTCAGGAAGTGAAAAATATTCATTTACTTCTAACTTAAATATATAATAAAAACCAGCGAAAACCAATTCGTAAACAGAGACTCGATGAGATAAAATTGACAATCAGTTTAAAAAATTTACCAAACTTATTAAATAGTCCACCATATTCACATAATTCTGCATTGCAGCTAAGTGTAAACAGGTTTCACCATTTTCATTAGCACATTCAATTAATATTTTTATCTCTTCTGGTTGAATGCTTTCAATAATAAATTTTATACATTCTAAATCTCCACGTAATGCACAATAGTGCAGAACTGTTTGACCATTGTATACTTTTGTCAAAATATTTGCTTTTTCTTGAAGACAAATCTGTTTATAAGAACAAAGAAAAAGAGAGAAAAATACATTTCAAGAAGGGTATCTAAAACGCTTAACGCTTCTAAGTTGTTTGCATAAATAGTCGACATTTGTCAGCTGATCAAGTAGAAGATTTTCAGTTAACTAATCACTTCGTCTGTGCGTCGGTGGCATAGTGGTTAGGATGCTCGCTGACCATGCACATGGTCCGGAGTTCGATCCTTGGCTGACGCACTCCTTTACCTCGCGAGGCCAGAAATAATGCTGGTGAAGAGAAAAGGTTGGCATGAGGCTAGCAATCCCATCCTGTAAAAAAACGCTGCTACAGAAACTTCAAGCCACTAGCTTGAAGCCCTATGTTCCACTGGGGGACGTAAAGGAAAAAAAATCACTTCGTCTATAATTTTATCAACAAAAAGAACAGTGACAACTTCATTCTGACAATGTTCATATGATATACAGATTTTTCAGCAGAGTTTATTGCATGGTATTTCCTCTTTGTCCAGGATCATCAAATAAAAGATTAACTGAGACCAGATCGTGAGACCAAATCCAGTCTACGTTTTAATTCATGGATGATCCGCATCTAGGCATTACCATGAAACAAAACACGCAGTTCAGCCAAGAGTCACTTTTCAACGAATTTATTTTCTTAGCTGTACAATCGCAAATTTATATGGGTTATTTTGTATGCATGTGTACATTACGTTTGTGAAACAAAAATACAATTAGTTATGGCTAAACAGGTGGAAATTAGTAAGTTTTGGGTGGAGTTACGTAATACAAAAACAGTCGAGATAATTGGGTGTTAATGAAACTAGTGTAGTGACAAAGCTGATGAGTTGTTACAAACAGTTGTTAAAAAGAAGTTACTCAATGATATGAATAGTTTGATGATTGAGTTGTACTCAGGATCATAGGATCAAAGTAGAGAATACGAAATTACATAAGAGTTCTAAATGAATACAAGAATTATAGGCAATTAAAGAAACAGGCAAACAAACAAAATTAAGTCATCAAAAATCAACAAAGTTGTCACCATGATAGTAGAAGTGATTGAGTAATTCTCTTTTGTATGCACAGCTCCGGTTTTTCTGTGTGAATGGCCAGAGCTCCAGCGACACAAAGAAGACGAAACCGTATTGCCTTTGATAGGTTGTTCTTGACTCTGTAGATTACTTTGAAGCAGGAGGTGTTTGTTGAGATGGAATGATCAGTGTTAACCAGGTGATCAGTTATCGCACTCCTTTTTAACAACTGTTTGTGACAACTCATCACCTCTGTTACAACACCGGTTTCATTAACACTCAATTTTCTTGATCGTTTTTGTTTTACGTAACTCCACCCAAAACTAACTAATTTCCACCTGTTTAGCCATAACTAATTGTATTTTTGTTTCACAAAATTAATGTACACATACATAAAAATAACCCATATAAATTTGCTATTGTATAGCTAAGAAAATGAATTCGTCGAAAAGTGACTCTTGGCTGAACTACGTGTTTTGTTTTCAACATTTCTATGTGACCTGAAGTGCAAACCAATCCACTATGATGTATCTTCTTTTTCTCCTTCGAGAAATACACCACGTTTTGTTGAATGCCAGTTACAGAAAGTTCAGGGATGCATTTTATGAACCACGAACATCAATCAGGAACGGTTTTCGTGTGCATTGGAATAAGCTGCCATCGAGTATTATGCTTTTTCACATATTTATTAGAAACTTGCATGCCAGCAGGTTGTAAATTTTTTAAGTACTCGCCAGAGTAGACAATACTATTAGGGGTCATATTTTACTAGATTTAAACAAACTAAATAAGAGAAATTATATGCAATACATTGATGGAAGTTTATGGTAGTCCAAATTTTAACCAGGCCACCAATATATAGATCATCACTTACACAGTTTGAATTTCGCCAAATCAACCTAAAGTTCTGTATTTAACATATCTTGTTCGGTATAATTACCTGATGGTTTATATAATCATAAAATGTATGCGACACAAAACTTTTTTGTATCGTTTTTCAGAACTCTGATTGGAAAATTAAAACAGGCGTTCATTATTCTCAAAAATCACTGCGGAGGTATACGATATGTAATACTAAGAAAAAGATCCGGATTCTACTCAACATTAATATCAAGAGAGTGCTAGTGTACGGTTCAGAGACTTGGCACACATGTTATGATAAGCATTTCTAACAGCCTTTTGCACACATTCGTCAACAACGAGCGAAGGGAACTGCTGAAGATCAGATGTTCATGTGGATAGGATAAGCAGAGTGGAACTCGAGGAGTACAATGGATCAGCTAACAACCTATTGTTCAACAAATATGCAGAAGGTAGTGGAGACGGATTGCACACACTTTGAGAAGAACTTCAAATGACGTCACATGTCAAGTCGAACCCGAGTGGGAATAAATGGGTTCGGTGTTGGAGATTGATATCGGAGGAGACCATATAAGAAGGAAGTGTAAGCATATCAGTAGTCATGGTGACATAGAATCAAGTGCAGCTGAAATGTTCTCCTGAAGCCCTGTGTTCCACTCTTGTCATTCTACTATGATGATTCGTAATAATTTAGCAACTTTCCGTTATATTCTCAGCAACTGTTGGACATTTTGAGTCACTAACAAACTGAAATGTATTAAATTTTCGACACAACTATTCACTTTGATTATCAGAGTTGTAAATAGCTGATAAGAAACTAAACAAAAAAATTAAATTGCCCCTTTTTATCTTACTGTATCTGTTGTTTATCATCTTTAAAAAAATTTATTCCCATGATATCTTTTGCTTATGAAGATTGACGAAGAAAGTGTTGTGTTTGGGGTTGAGTATTTTCTGTCTCAACTATCACATCTAGCGAAATTTGTCTGGTGACAGGTAATAATGTTTGTGTACTTTGAAATGCAATGTTTGTTCTTTGAGGAAGTCGTCAGCTAGAACTTCTAACATCTCATTAGCCTACAGTAATACAGTTAGGGTTAACATTAACCATCCGTTATTTCAAGAGCTAAAGTTTTATCCAGTTGGCTTGTGAACTATCCATTAAATAAGGTGATAATGAAAAAATTTAATATCTCGATGCACATGGTCCGGGGTTCGATCCCCTGCCGACGCACACCTGATATTTATGGTCGGCCTGCAAAATTTAAGCTACCGATATCACATGCTGAAAATTCCATGCCTGTACCTAAAAATGGAGTGTGGAATCAAGCCGTAATCAAAAAAAGATGCTCATTCCAGGCGTTCATCTTTCAATAGAGGTAAATTACAAGCAATAACACATGGTCCAGATAATGTTACACCATAAGATAATGATTTTTAAATCGAAACAATCCTTCACTACATAGTTGGCTATTAGTTCACATAATAATGTAAAAAAATATAATGGTATCATAAATGTAGTGACTACTTTTATCCATAGAAAGTAGACAAAATAGTATATTGTGACATGGCCCCTAAAAATAAATTGATTTCTGCCCATGTAACATACTCTAATTCTAGTCTATCATTGTCCCGATGTTATCTTACTGCATAATTATACATAATTATCAAAACCTGACGACGTTTCTTGTCAGCAGATCTGCTCAGCGATGAAACTCACTTGTTACCAGTTCTTACTCAGTAATTATTATTAATTTTCTAAACACTTTAATGTGCCATTTGGTGAGCTATAGCTAAAATCTTTCAACTCTGACTATCAGAATAAAGCTCAGGAAACACAGTGCAACACACTAATTCTATTTGTTCCTGATAAACACCATCTTGATACAGTTAGGTTCATGTTGTGTAAATATTTAACGTAGAAAGTTATAAAATAGCCTTTATAACATTGAAAAATGTTAGTTTTGTAGTCAGTTAAGCATAGAACAAACTAAGTATTTGAATTAAAAATAATGCAATGAAAACTGCATTGTAAAACAGTTAACACATACCTTCATAAGTTCAATAGATCCTGAATTAGCTGCCATATGAATCGGTGCAAAACCTTGACAATCAGGTAAATGAATTAGTTGTAAAGGTTTTATAGGTTGGTCGCTTTCCTGATTAGAACATCTTTGTTCCATACCAAATCTTGATGGAATACTAGGTGACACATGTCTATTTAGGCTAAAATTGTTTGATATCAGAGAAAATTTTCGATTGAATATTGAACTAGATTTGTTATTGACATAAATGCCAGTAACTGATAGGTCAGTGTTATCTGTTTGTTTTGTTTCTGTGCTCATTTGTAAATCATACTTATTATATTCTAAAAGAATTTTAACACATCGTAGACTCAATTGAGAAATTGCCTCGTGAATTGGATACTTTCCAAATACATTAGGTTGATATATATTGCCACCATGCTCTATCTTAATGGTAATAGAAAACAACAATTTAAAAAAACCAACCAGTTTTCTAAAAAAATTATTGCCGGTATTATCATTACACAATTTGGCTACTGAATTTCATTATGAGCTGACATGGGTTAGAGAACCAGTGGAAAAGCTGCAGGGAGTACTGGACAGATGTTTCCCTGGGACTCTTCATCAGTACGCACCCACCGCCATGGTTCGAACCCACGACCTTCTAGTTACACGGCTAGCTAGCTCGTAGATCATTAAGCCACTGGGACCTGGTGGGTGTGTACTGCTAAAGAGTCCCAATCCAGAACGAAACAGCTGTACAGTACTTCCAGGTTTTCCAATGGTTCCCTAACCGATATCAGATCATGGTATAATCCTGTTACCAATCAACCAAATCTCTACAAACCAATACTTGAATTACACTGTGTTTTGTCTCAGTTTGATTTTATCCCTAGATTTTTATGAAACCTGAAATTTTTATTCACAGTTTAGTATTCAGACTGATTGCCACTTACGAAAGTCAGTCGTTTGCAAGAAAATTAAAGCTTAGAGAACCGTAATGCACACATTACGAGGCTTACCATCGTTATTTCTTAGAGTTAACTAAATCATGACAGGAAAAAATTTATGAAGTTCGTTCACCTTTCACTGAAAAAACTAATTGATGCGCACTCATATTCCCAAAATAAATATGAAGCCCTGTCAGGATACAAGTGAAGAAACATGATTGTTTGAAACAGTAACTTCCTGCAAAACTGCTTCTAAAGTGAGACATGAAAACATCTGTAACTTTGATGTTGTTAGCAGACCTTTGACTAAGTGACTTGCTTGTCAAAATTCAGAATGTTCGGTAGTACAGTTACACCAACAAAGAACCTATCGCCTTACAAATATATCGACGGAAATAGACATGGATTGGACATAAGCACAATTTTAACTTGCTCACTTCTTCTATGTCCATTTCAATCTTCCGTCTAACATTCATCAAAAAGAGATTTGTGCAAATTTTTCCAAACGTGTCTGTCAGACTGAGGCAGTAGCCTAACGCAAACAAGATATTAAAGTGGATAGGTTGTTGATAAATTCAATTTTTAACAACAGAAGGCAAGACACGGTAGACAAGGTATATTTTTCATTAATCAAACTGCTGTTTATGTATCTACAGTTTATATTCGTTAACCAATCACTGAGGTTGTGATTTGATCTACATCAAACTATATGAAATAGAATGTTCAAATATACATAGTATTAAGTTGCCAATGCAGTATTGAACTGCGGGAAAGTATTCTGTCTCTAACATCAAATAGAATGTTCAAATAGATATATCGTATTCTGTTGCTAATGCCGAATTGAACTGTAGGAATATGTGAGAAAAATATTCCATTGGCACGAATTGCCTGTATCACACCACCACTAATCTATCGTGACATTTTCTCTGAGACCTTGATACTGGAAGAATTTTGCTCGTGAAGTCTGTTATAAGTTTTTTAAAATCTAATTTACCCTTCTGCATCTAGTTATAAACTAACTGAAATTCACTGATATCGTCTCACACTTGTACTGTCTACCAGAAGTAGTGTATAAATCAGGAGTGCCCGTCCATCCCAACCTGGATATAACGTATTCACTTCGCCATAGGACTAAAAAGTAGCTGGAACAGTGTCAAGCCTACCTTTCAAGTTTAATAATAAAGTAAAATACCCGGATACAACTGACAAGTAAATAAAATCTGTTGATGTCATTTCCTTATTCACTAACATTCTTCGGGTGGAAATGATCGATCACATTTGTGAATAGATGATTAGTTAGAGAACCATTGAAAACCAAGGTGTACTTGACAGCTGTTTCATCCTAGTTTGGGAATCATCGGTAGTACGCACCCACTGGGATTCGAACCCAGAACCTTCCGGTTACAAGGTAAGTTCATATACCTGTCCGGTACACCCTGGTTTTCAATGGTTCTCTAACTGATATCAATCCGTGATCAACTCTTAAAAACATAACTAACCCTTACAAACCAAACTATAAAAAATAGATGATTAACAAAAGGTTGTACACTGATACCACTGTCTTTAGTTTGAAGGAAATAATGCTTATATGTATAACGAATGTTCAGTTCCTGTGTTTAATAATGACAAGTACAGACAAGCTGATGGAGGAGCTGTGGGATCTCTTCTAGTTCCTATTACTATAGACATATTTCTACAGGAACTAAAACATGGTCGATTGAAAAATGAAATACTAAAAATGTATGAGATAAATTAGGTCTCGTTATTGCTTTGTATAAAGTATATCTACTGCATTATTATTATATAATTACTATTGTTTCCTTTAGTTCTTAGAGGAACATAGGGCTTCAGCCGCAAGTCTCCATTGCGTCCGGCTCTCTGCCAACGTTTTCATTTGGCTGTAAGTCTGCCCATATGCTTTCATCTCCTCTTCACATCACCTCCTCCATGTCACCCTCACACTGACAACCAACTCGCCGCCTCACATTCGGGTTCCACTCGACCTATGGCCTGGCGTTTGATGACACTTGATGGTTTGTTTTCTCAGAGAATGGCCAATCCACCTCCGCTTCTTCCTTCATATTTGTTGCACAATCGGTTCCTGCTGGATTGGTTCGCCCCCAGAGATACCTGTTGCTGATCTTTTCTGGCCGGCCATCTGATCTTGAGCAAAGTATTGAGCGAAGACGGCTGTTGATGAAGGTGTGTGGTTTATCGAAGTGCCCTTTGTGACGCGCCAAGTCTCTGCTCCATATAGTAGCACTGACTTCACATTGGAGTTGAAAATCCGAATTTACTGCATAGCTGACTATTATTGTTTTGGTAACAGATATTTTGTTTTATAATTGTGAAGAGCTGAAGGGAGTGTAATGAAAAGAATACTCCTTTATCAGACCAATTTTAAATTCATGTTTAGTCAGCAGATATCAGTAAGTTGTTTTCAAGATGTTAGGCTGACATAACTGTTTCTTTTTTTCACAAACCATTTCATCTACCTGTAGAGTAGTTAGTATGAATAATATAAAGCTTGGTTAAAGTTAGGCAGTCTTGAATGATATAAACTTCTGTCACAGTATTTACATGAGTCGCAGTGGATTTTAGTTAACACCACACGCCGCATGATAATAGTAATAATAATGGTTACCAGTTCTTTATGTATTTCTCGGTCATTTTAAATGCTCTTACCAATAACAGTAAACATTCTGCACTATCTTTGAAACAACAGTAGTGAATCGGTGTTGCACCCACATCATCCAAGATATTCGCATCTTGTGTTACTTCAAGCAGAAGCTGTAAAAAATGTAATAAGCAAAAGACGCAATTATAGCAAACAGTGTGTACGCTCTGATACAATTCTGGCATTTGTCTATTACTATGCAAGCAAAAGCTTTCACGTTGGAATCACTTTGATGCTAAGAAGAATTTTTCAGGAAACTATCTTCTTCTCTTAAAACACTTCCATCGAAATAAAAATACTTCTTGGATAAAATGGGTACAATGAACTGTGATAGTGGTAATTCAGGAGTTTGAGTCTCTGTGCAAACGCCAGATATACTTAAAATTAAATGTGTTACCTACTTACAGATACATAGCATCATCATCACAGGAAATACATCGTCTCAACCAATAAGCTGTATACTTTAGCCTAATAGTATTAGTATAGGAATAAAACTTGTGCACTGTGGTAGAGTGTAATTCCATTATGGGTAAATTTTATTTTGATAAAGTCTCACAGTGTTATACAGTAATGTTTACTGATGACGTTTCGAGCACAATTTATTGCTCATAATCATATCAAGTTAATCCCACGACTTCCTAAATTCATTTATATAGTTCCATTGTTTTTCACTTGATTTTCACTGTGCGTCGGTGGCACAGTGGTTAGGATTCTCGCCGACCATGCAAATGGTCCGGGGTTCGATCCTCTGCCGACGCACACCCGATATCTATGGTCGGCCTGCAAAATTTGGGCTACCGATATCACATGCTGAAAATTCCATACCTGTACCAAAAATACGGTGTGGAATCAAGCTGTAACCAAAAAAAAAATTTGATTGGTAGTAATATTTTCCATATTTCGGGTATGAGTGATGAATCATTCCTATTGCATGTGTTGGGTGTAGATTCGATGAACAAGGATTCAGTAATCAACCTCTCTCTCCACCTAAGTAGTTAAGTTACACACTGACACACATACAGCGCGCATAAAATTCAACCCCTCATAAACACCCTTTTTCTCTACCCCTGTCCTTGACATGATCAAAATAAAATTCACCCATAATGTAATAATATTAGATTTTGAATTTCGTAGAGGGAATAAGGTTCACTGAGGTCGCTGTTACGTCCTGTTGACACTGATTTTCAGTTATCATACTTTAAATAGTGACTTTTAATTTACTGTTACCTTTAATCATTGTTTTAAGAAATAAATTTTGGATATGAATAAAAATATTATGCAAGTATAATTCTTCTGTAAGCTGAATTATCACTCAATAAATTTATGTAGAATGCTCGCCAATGATACATGTGGTTCAGGGTTCGATCCCCGGCCACGGACGCACTGCTTTACCTCGCTTAGCCAGTAATAAGACTGGTGAAGAGGGAAGGTTGGGCATGTGGGGCTAGCAACCACATCCCGTAAAAATAAACACCACTGCTACTGAAACTTCACAGCTCTAGCTTGAAGCCTTAGGTTCCACTAGGAACGTAAAGGAATAAAAAAGAATTTATTTAGTGGTGTGGTGAGAGCTGTCTACTAGCCAAATTGGTAGACAGTAATTAACGTCAATGTTTACGTTCTCAAGATTGGTCGTGAGAAAATGTGAACAAAGATTGATTCAAAAACCGACCACAGCAGACTTTGCGTAGGCGGATACAGTTAACATATAGATGATCTGACATTCAAGAAACAGTCACAAATAAGTGAGAGATTAACTTTAAGTGAGAAACAAACAATCAGAAGACTGTGTTTGTTTACTTAAATATCCATAGTAATGTACATGCAAATATATAAATATGCGTTGATTTCCTTAATAAAACGATCTGTTGCCTGACCCTTGTCTTCTGTTGTTACAGTGGTATGCTAAATATATATTTTCATTATGAAAGTGTTTTATTTAGATTTTAAGCGTTTTCTACAATTTGGACAATATTCCTTTCACCCATTGTTGCATTATTTGTTTAATATCATGACTATGGTGAATAATGAACGGTTTTAAAACATCTGAGTTACATTGATTAATTCACTATAATCTCTGAGCATTACAAGTTCACAGGAACTTCTTGATCTTCAGTGTTAGATTCAAAAACTCAAGAATTCATGTCAAGATTTTAGTGAGGATAGTTACGCATAGAAACTCACAAACCTATATCAATCGGGTGACTACAGAAAAGCATAGAGTTTTGTCCTAGTTTATGACTCATCAGCAGTGCGTGACTGTGACCCCACTAGGATTTCAACCCAAAACTTTGAAGCTACTAAGCAAGCGCGTTATTATTCAGTTCACATTTTAGCGATTCGAGCAAAATGATCCTTCAGTCTATCAAATGCATCATTTGGATTTAACAATCACAAAACGAATACAGTTAATTATAGGAATAAACTGTCTAGCAATATGATGCAGATTTTCTAAAAGTTTAGAAAGATACTTTCATTATATTTAAGTCTAAATCTTAATCAATCAATTACAGATGTAAGGGATTTCCTTCTAACATAAATTTCGTAACACCAGTAAAGAAATTTTTCAAGAAGGCATTAATTTACCATTTATCTGCTTCATCTAATACAATGTTGTAAAAATTTTAAGCGAACTTCGGAAGGTATCGGTACTACTACTTGAAGAACAAGTATACCTTCAAAACCATACTAATTAAAGTTCATAATGGGGCTATAAGAACAATAATAATAGTGAGTTGGTGTTGTATTTGTAGACATAGCTGGTTATGCCTTCAAAATGATATCCATTTAGTAAGACTAGTAGAATTTTATAAGGTATACTGAAAGACTTAGCTGAAAGGCAATGCAAAGGTTGTGTACTGTCACCTAAATAAACAAGTTTTATTTCTTCTTTCACATATAAAAAAATGAAAATTGTTAATGTGATTGCATATACTGATGGCCTGCCAAAAATGAACGCATAGTTCTGTTTGATACTATCATCTTAGAAATATAATTGTCACCTTATCAAAAAATCACAAAGAAGTATATGCACCGTTCACAAACTTTGCTTGACAGACTAGTAAAATATAGAACCAAAGTTGTATTTCAGTTTTTCAACACGATAAGGAAGAGTAACTTAACAAACACACATTTAGCGCCTCCTCATATTAGATTTTTATTGATTGATATTTCATTCCAAGTCACTTCATTCAATAGTCTGTTTCACGTGTTAAGGTGAACAGAATAAACCTTAATCCCTTTGATGGGGTACGATTCTGTGGAAAGTAGTGTACGTTGGAAGATGATCATAAGACTCTCCTTTAACTACTTAAAATGAGGCCAAATCTGAAGAGGTTTTGATATATAGAGAAGCGACAATCTACCCTGGGTGATGTTATACACGGAAACTACATTCCATCGAGAATACTTCAGGCGAAAAGGGATATGATGATCCGTTCACAAAAGAAACATAAATCATTAGAAACCAAATGATAAACTTCCAACACTGAAGAAAAGACCTTTGTTTCTGTATATAAAATTTAATGAAGACATTCCAAGTCAACTCATGTTGATAGATCTATCTAAGCCAGTAAATAAAACGTTTTGCCGATGGATATTTGTATGCATTACTCATATCCTCGAGAAAATTCTCACCTAATTAGTGCTTATCGCTGGGTATATACCAATTTAGCTGTCTTGTGATAAAGTTTATTTAGCGTATTCTATTAAAACGTCTATATCTGAATATAAAGGAATTCACTTTCATGCTTTCAACAGGTGATACCAAATCCACTATTAGTTGTTGTCAAATGCATTGGGCTCCGGGTGTTAAATATATGGTAACCTAGCTTTTATTGAGATACACTGAGTTCTTAAACTTGTATCACTGGCCATTTGATTACTTAGTGAAAACTCTATCTATAGAATTAAATAAACTTCATATATCCATTCAGAAAGAAAACGTTTAGGCACTACTGATCCCTAGGCTTTTTACCCAGTACATACCTCTCCTGTATCCATGAGTCATTTTTTCATTTTCTTTCTAAAATAGGATTTCAGCCTCATATTCCCACAATGATATAGTTAACCAATAAATAACTTTGTCTAAAAGTCACGAGAAACGAAAATAGATGGCTTACTTCAAGTCCTTCAAGAAAATTGCCCTCGCCTGCTAAATGTATAGGTTGTGCGCCTTGTTGGTTTTTCATATCCACTTTGGCACCAAAATCAATTAACAATCGAAGTATTTGCAAGTGTTTTCCAAGTACTGCTGAATGAATAGGTTGATCTCCTAATTCATTAATATTGTTCGGATCTGAATGAATGAAATGTAGATGTATAGATGGAGAATTTCATTCTGGTAAGACAAGGAATTAATTATATTAATTTTTACTGAAGATTGAGCGATTTCTTTGAAATAATACAAAAACTGAAATATGAATGATAATTTCATGAATTTTCAACTACATAGGAAAGTATTTTTTGAACGTTGTACACCCTTGAATGCTATTAAGAATATTCGCCAGGAAATCTTCACTGGACAAAAGGTGTCAAGCTGGAATGTTCTTTAGGAAGGGAGTTTAGCTTTCTTTTTAAAGGTTGGTCAGGATGTATTTACCATTGACATAAACGAGTAGAGCTAGCCAATTTTTAAAAATGCTTTGGAGATCAATCGTTGTAGGATAATGCATTATAGTCACTTTGGTAGCATGTTGTATTTCCTAAGAATCTATTATTTTATTTATTTTCTTCCTTTACGTTCCCCCAATGGAACACAGGGCTTCAAGCTTGAAGTTTCAGGTGCAAGTGGTGTATATTTTTAGGGGATGGGGTTGCTAGCCCTATATGCCCAACCTTCTCTCTTCACCAGTCTTATTAATGGCTTAGCGAGGTAAACGAGTGTGCAGCCAGGGATCGAACCCTGAACCACATGCGTGGTTGGCAAGCAGTCTACCTCTGTGCCGCCGAAGTACTAAGGAGCTATTAACTAAATTTATTCTAAATATTTAATAGAGAGGTAATTTATTCCGACATTTATAAACACATGTGGAGAGGTGTTCTGAGTTCACTAACTAGGCATGGGAATAACATTATTTCTTGAATATTTACGCTTGACACACTTAATATTACGGTTAGTGGAAGCAGTCATCAGAAAATAAACAGTTTAATGACTCAAGCTTTATGCTTATTAATATCCCAGTCATTTAAATCAATTAAAAGTCTTTTAACATAGAGAAGACAATATAAACGTGATGGATATAACTCTATCGGAACTGAAGATTTAGAGCGGACGGTCTCCTTTGTACATATTTCTTTTGCTGATGTTCTGAAAGAAGAAATAGCAAACACTAAAGTAGAAAAACACCACCACCAGCAACAACAACAACTGACAACAATCAGCATAAATGGAAGGAACCTGAAAGAAACAACCTCCTACACCTACCTACCTACCTGGGAAGCATCGTTTCAACTACAGGCGAGGATATCAAAGCAAGAATCGGAAAAGGAAGACAAGCTTTCACTACTCTCAAGTCTGTGTGGTGGTCAGTAGCTCTCAGCATCAAAAATAAGATCCGGATTTTCAACTCCAATGTGAAGTCAGTCAGTGCTACTCACTATACGGATCAGAGACTTGCACTGCGCATCATAAAGAGCACCTCAAACAAACTACAGACCTTCATTAACAGCTGCCTTCGCTCAATACTCAAGATCAGATGGCTGGCCAGAAACGATCAGCAACAGAGATTTCTGGCAATGAGCGAACCAACCAGGAATTGATTGTGAAACAAATAGGCAGGAAGAAATGGAGATGGATTGGCCATACTCTGAGGAAACCATCAAGTGATATCACTAGACAAGCCATTGCTCGAATGGAACCCGAAAGGGAAGCGGCGAGTGCAAGGGTGACTTGGAAGAGGTCACGTGAAGAGGAGATGAAAAGGTGTGGGCAGACTTGGAGCCAGGTGAAGATTCTAGCAGAGAACCGAACGAAATGGAGACACACGGCTGAAGCCCTATGTTACTCTAGGAATTTAAGGAAACAATAATATAATAATAATAATAAAGTAGAAAAACATGGATCTATTTTATTTTATTGAAAGTTTCAAAGGTACTAAAGGGTGAATATATCTGTACTTAGATGAATAATTTTACAAATTATCACATAGGATTTCACCCCACAGATTCCTAAGATTCTGAGATAATCATCCATACAACTTAGATTTACTTACAAAGCCCACACCAACAGTAAGACAATTCATAGAGTGTAGCCATATTTTTCCTCGAACCACAAACTTTTATCAGATCTAATCAAAATTCAGCAAATATAGCCTTCTAAAAAGATGATATCTTGGTAAATGCAATACCTTTATCAGGCACTCCAGTCATAGGAAATTCTTTTCTTGTTGAATACCTGATATCTAGTTATAATATTTTTATCGTTGTGCTTCTTCAACATGTTGTCAATGTTAAAAAGGCAGTTGCGATGATGAAAAAAAATCAGCCGTTTCGTCTATTCCACTTTTTATGCCTGGATTACAGTCACAAATTAGAACAGACGGGTTTGTTGTGCAGTGTACTCTTCTTTATATGGTTAGTGAATGCATTATTAGCGCATGATGTGACTTTAAATGTTCATCCCGGCTTTATTAGGTATTATCATGAAGACACAAGTTCAGAAGTCAGATAGTGAACATTTGTTTTCAGTAAATCAAAAAGAGGGAAATCAAGAAATATACGCAATAACAGATGGCCATTGCATAAGTAGTTTATACCTAGATTCAATACATTGAAATATATTAGTTTGACGTATAAAATCTCGTTAAGAATGCAGTCGCTTCCATTATAATACACTACAACTATAAGTTCAATATAGGGAAGAAACATGATATTATAGGTCATCGGCAATCAAATTAATAGTATGCTGAAATTAGTTATCCATACCTGCTCCACAAATCAGTAGCCATTCAACGAAATCAATATGATTATATTGAATAGCATAATGTAGTAATGCATTAATTATCTTCTCAAATGTGACTGAAGTGGCTGAACTATTCTGCAGTGTACTAATGACATCTTCATATTGAGTTGCTGAGTTTGGTAACTGTAGAAATAAAAAAAACAGAATAAAATCTCATGAAAGCGAAGAGGTAAAGCTTTTAGAACTTGCACATTTTCTAATATTGACAATAAAAGTCAAAGGATCACTAAAATTTTCAAATCTGGAATAAGAAAAGAGAAACTTAAGTAACTATTTTGAGCTGTTGCGGTTCATTCTGTGTTATAGCATATGAACGTGTTCATCATTTCTCCTCAATATCACGAGTGCAACAATCAAGATGCGTATATCTTTGTAAGCGATAGCAACTGTCACTTATATCTTGAACTAAGATTGCAATGCAATCATCTTCAATTTTCCTACATTCTCTCTTTGAAATTCTACTTACAACAAGGGTTGGGGGTTCAACTGTCTTAATAGTTTAACCATTAAAAATTATTACTCAGGAAAAGTGAATCATAAAGCACAGGTTTTCAAATCACGGAATATGCACATTTGATCATAGGGGATAAAAAGACAGTTGCAGCGAAGAAAATTTTCGACGAAGTCATCATCTAGGCTGTACATTCGTGTATTTATATCATATGGATGGGAAAGTTCCAGTATAATTTCCGGTTAAGGGTCTGTATTTTTTTTACCACTTAACAAGTATGTCTAGAAACAATTCAGTGATTAGAAGAATGTTATCGTAACATTAACATACAAAATCACTACTTTCTACTGATTACTTAGAAATACTGATATAAAAAGAAACTCATTTTCAGATAATAGAAGTAGGTACTCTTCACTCAAATATGACAAGGCTACAGAACAATGTCATCATGAAGAAAACACGAAAATGCCAGGACTTTAATTGACAGAGTCAGTGGCATTTGTAAGAGCAAGACTAGTCACTGTGTTGGCTGATGAAGAACATTAAAGAAATTCAAATCATCCTAGAAAAAACATTGGAGGATAGTCTAGTGGAAGTCCTTTAATGTCATAAGTCATGGAATTCTTCATAAGATCAATATTAAAAATTATAACAAATCAGCAATAAGTTCTTGAATTAAATTTTCTATAGTTTGGTTTGTAAGGGTTAGTTATGTTTTTACGAGTTGATCATGGATTGATATCACTTAGAGAACCATTGAAAACCAGGGAGTATTGGACAGCTTTTTCATCCTAGTTTGGGAATCATCGGCAGAACGTACCCACTGGGATTCGAACCCAGGACTATCCGGTTACAAGGCAAGCTCGTATACTGATATCAATCCGTGATCAACTCGTAAAAACATAACTAACCCTTACAAACCAAACTATAGAAAATTAATCTGATGCTCGCTAGTGACTTGCTACAGGATGGAGTTTCCTGGAGTTCTAGTGAGAATTCGTGACCAGTGAGGTCCAATTAGATGTCACGTGTGTGGATGGATGTCCCACCAACGACAATGGTTGGGGTCGCGCTAAATCACGAATTGGTAGGAGTTAGAATTCATGAGCCGTTGAATCGGGTCCCAGTGGCTGAATGGTATACGAGCTTGCCTTGTAACCGGAAGGTCCTGGGTTCGAATCCCAGTGGGTGCGTACTGCCGATGATTCTTAAACAAGGATGAAAGAGCAGCTGTCCAGTACTCTCTTGAATTAAAGCCTAATATGCAACAGATACAATGGTCAGAGGTCAAACCAATTGGAATTTCTGTATATAAGTTCATAAAGTATAAAGGCGTCAAATGTTTAACTTTGTCACCAATACAGTATCATTTCATTCTTCATCTATTACAAATGGGATTTCTGTAAGAACACTACTGAATTTACCACTAACAAAATTCTCACCGGAATCAAATTTATTTTCATAAATATAGCAATCTATATATTCAGAACAAAATATTTAGAGCGAACAATTGCTTTCAATAAATTCTTCTTCAGACTCTATAATAATTATAAATCCATTAATTTAAGCATACAATAGGCAGTAAAGGCAAATTAGAATCATATCAGAAAGTGTATTGTGGTACAAGTATAAGATGGGATGGAACAATAGTCAGTTAGTTTTTTTAATATGTATGGTCAATGAGAACATGGGACAAAATGAGATGAAGTAATTTAATTTAATGATATATATATATATATATATATATATATATATATAGTCAACAGAAAAATACAGGTTTCAGTAGCTGAAGCGGTTGCAATTAATACCAGAAGACCATCTCTTTGAATACAGATGAAGTATGTTCAACCTCTATGTTTACCTTGGCCTACAATAAAGCCAACAAATCCTCCATTAACACTATAAATTCCATTCACAATTTTCTTTTCTTCTTCTTCTATTCCTCTGTTTCATTGACAAACGTTCATTTTCGACTTTTATGATTTCATGACCTTCCTTATGATTTTATTACCTTAGGTTTAAGTAGTGCTTTTCTAACTTGCTATCGTATTTACAAAATCCTGTTCATTCCACTTCATTATATTCATCATTATTTGACAATCATACACCTACAGTATTTGTAATTTTACACCATATCATCGTTATTATCTTACAGTCATTCTTACTGTCGTTATTTTCAACCTTGAACTTATGTCTAGTCCACCCGATTCGTTGGTTTATTTTCACATTGTCTCACACACCCTGATTACACTTACTCTCGAAACCTGTATATATATATATATATATATATATATGATAAAGAAAGCATCAGGCGTGACACCTATAATTCGTTAAATAGTCAGTAGTAAAACTGGATCTCGTCTTTCCAACTCATATCATTTATAGGTGCAACATTTTCTTTCTTTTCCTTTTCTCTCTCTCTTTTTTTCCGTTATGTGCTGCTTTGTTTCTTTCTCTCGCTTACGCCAGCAAATATGACAGCTCTCACTTTTCTAACACCTTCAAACACTTTCAGCTTTACCTTTGCTACTGACATGCCAATGTATTGTTGTAATAATGAACTGTGGTTTCCTCAATCTATGTAGAATTCTATTTATTGATAATATACAAACTGGATGCAATACTGTAGTAAAAATGCTGAGAATTCCATTCTGTATCACATCTACTGTTTTGGAATAAAGCAAATTATTATTATTATTTTGTCCCATGTTCTCATTGACCATGCATATTAAAAAAACTAACTGACTATTGTTCCATCCCATCTTATACTTGTACCACAATACACTTTCTGATATGATTCTAATTTGCCTTTACCGGCTATTGTATGCTTAAATTCATGGATTTATAATTGTAAAGCCTGAAGAAGAATTCATTGAAAACAATTGTTCGCTCTAAATATTTTGTTCTGAATAAATTATGGGAATATTCAATTTACAATCTATATATGCTATCTATATATAATGACAAGCAACTTTTAGTCCGCAAAGTTTTGTTTCAAAGGAGTAATCTTAACTAACCCCAACGTTTACACATCGATCGATTAGCTATATTTAATAGATAATGCAATATAAAATTAACCAGTCCAGTAGACATATTATTCAGTGTGAGTAACTTGACTTATTCTATCAGCAGCAACATTTTTATCTCACGGATTAAGTAACCTATGACTGAGTACACGTTTTGGTTCATTGATATCACAAAAGGCTGACTATGTTATGTGATGTTTCCCTAAGTGGATAATTCTAGAGTGTATACATGTTATTGGGCTTCAATTGACAGAAGAATTAACTGTTCTTCTTATTCCTTTCAAGAATTAATTCATGTTTCAGTTTCAGTCATAACTGAAGATATTTACCATCACCAAAAATACACATAAACACTGAAATCTTTGTCTGTGACAGTGAAGTGAATCTTATACAATATTAATATTTATCTAAGGTTTTATTATCACAGAAAGAGATATATGTTACTACTTAATTTAAAAGCATTGCACATATCATCACATCACATGTAGTTAGTTAGTTAAGATGGAAACATACTCTGTCAGTTGTCAAGATAGTATCAGATCATACAAAATGTATAATTAATCTATCTAATTTAATTGACTTGCTTGACTGAATGTCATTTATCTTTTCTAGATATTAATGAGAAAAGAAACATTTTCTATATATGATATCAGTTTTTTCTTACGATATTATTTTTTCATTATAAGACCATTCAAATCTTGACTGGTTGCAGTAGCAGTAATAATAATAATGATAATCACTTAAGACTGATTCCCATCAATTGACAGTGAAATATTATTATCCCTGTAATAACCTGAATCTGTTTGCGTCTGTTCGGACCTTCATATGGTTGACAGGAAGCCCCGAACGTATGTCTCGACGTTGTTGTCACCAGTCAGCAAGACATATCTACAGCTTCTCTTGAAATGATGCACACTCGGGGTTTCAAACACACTTTAACCAGTGCTGCAGTTAGAGGTGTTACCATTGTGCTGTTAGGGCTCAAGATTTACCTCCTGTAGATCTTTGATAGATAGATTCACTGACTGTAATCAGTTAGCTGCGACACTAAGGAATAGAAACACGACACTGGTCACTACTTGTTGAAGATATTTTCATGCACACTAATTCTAGGTTAAACTTTTTCTCTATCCATTTTGTGTACTGTTATTACTTCATTCAAGAATATTCATCATTCCTTTTTAACACTGAGTAACTTAAGTACCTACATCATTTTGAACTAATGCTGCATGCATTTCTTACCGAATAAATATTCAGTGCGATAAAAGAACGTCCAAACAGTTGCATTTCGATATTATTTAAGTTGTAAGCATTTGAAAAGAATCCGTGAAATAATAAAACATAATGAGCTGTTGTTACCCTGTTACATTTTTTGTTCCTACTTTATTAAAACATGAAGATATTCGATAAACGAGTCAACCGTATTTCAGAGAGCCTACAGCACTATGCATATATATGTATATATTTCTGTTACATTTATTCCAACTGAAATGACCACTTGATTAATTTATATTTGAGGAAAGCGAAGAACGAGTACATACCGCAAAGAGGAATCCGACTTTATTTTACTTTTTTGTAAATTTAATGAAATTAGTAGCCTTTGTTAAACATACTCATGTAGGCGGTAAATATACCAAAATTAGGACGGTATAGAGATGATTAGCACAGCCCCTGAGCAAGGACAACATGCAAACTCATAAGGCATTCCGTACTTTCTGGTTCAGTTTCTTTTAGTGAATAACGCTTAGTAGTATGCGTCAGTGGTTCAGCTGTAGAATGCTCACCAACCGCACACGTAATCCGGAGTTTAGTCCCCCCAGTTGACACATTCCTCAACCCTACTTGGCCAGTAGTAAGCATAGTAGGGTGGGAAGGTTGGGCGCCAAACTAGCAAACTTACTCCTTAAAAAAGGACCAGTGCTACTTAGACTTTAAAGCTCAAGCTTATGTTTCACTAGGAACCAAAGGAGTAAAATATATCAAAATTAAAAAATTGGACGTAGGCATCATTTTTCTGTGCTTACTGAAGAACAGAAACATTCTCTGTTACAATATTCACTTTCTAATTCTTCAGAAAGCTTGCTACAATTACAGGAAAAATCCTTCTAACATTATGCAATAGTAGTATGTATTCGAATTCATTATCTCAGAGAATATGACTGGTTAATTTTATAGAATAATGGTAATTTAGATGTTTAAACGCCTAAATGTGATACGTAGGAAGTAACTACAGAATTTACTTATCTCAAACATGTATATGTTTTGTAGATATTTGTATGACGAAGATTTTCGTTTTTTCATTCCTTTACGTTCAAAGTAGAACTTAGGGAATGAGGATTGAATGTTTAAGCTCTAGTGAAGGTGGTATTGTTTCTACGGAGTGAAGTTACTAGCCTCGTGTCTAACTTCCTGTCTTTGCTTGGCTTACTGATGACTAAATGAGATTTAGCAGTGCGTTGGTTGGAATTCCAACTTGGTCCATGTGCGTAGCTGGTGAACACTCTACTATTAAACCACTGACGCATAAGCTGGAGAATAATAAATTAAAAACTAATCCGTTAGCCTTCAGTATATACAGATGCTGTTTACACAAAATATTATTTTTGTGAAATCATAAGATGTTAATTTGACAAATGTTTCATGCAATTTTAATGTGACCTTCTAAAATCATTATGTTTATATATGGATATGATGTTGTTTTATTGATATTTAGGATAGGAATCAATCGACTCAGAGATACGGAAAGTTTTCATGGGGTTACATAAGATTTAGAAAATGAAACAAAACAATGAAATTAACATTGTCTCAGTAAAACATAGTGTGAGTCTTTATTAAACAGGATATTACTACAGTAACTATAACTAATTCCATGAAAAGTAGTTCAATCAGCACTTTACCTATTGATAGATTAGGAACAGAATTTAAGCGAAGTTCTATTCTGTCTGCACCAACAGTAGAATTCATACATCTAAGGGGAGAACATTAGTTTTAGTTGTATTTGTGGTATCTATTAGTTAAGAAGTATAGAAAGAACTCTGCAAATACTTCCGTAAGTTTTTGGTTAGAAGAGGAGTAGAGCTAGTCACAAGCCACACATACACATTTACTAGCATTACTAGCATGATTATTACCCTCATAACTTTGCGTCATACCTCAGACTAAAAACAACATCATAGAGGCATTCCTGCGTATAAATCCAAATAAGCAGTTACAATAAAGCTAACGAAACTTAATTTATGACTCCAAAAGACTACAGAGAAATTTTTTCATAGTCGAAATTTGTGAAAGGATTACTAAACAGCAAGAGGCATTGCACATGTGCTTCCTTCAAATTTGAGATGCTTCATTACAAATCTATGCCGGAAGGTAAAGTTTTGAGGTGAACGCGGCGCTGTTTAATCAGAAAGTTGAAACTCAGTAGCCCCTGATATACAGGTTATACGGATTTATGTCGTCTCACGACCAACCAGTGAACAGCTATCCTTCTACCCTTCTAGTAGGATTCTGTTGACCAGAATTTCCTATAAAGGTTACTGGGATCCCCTGCATAAGCTAGTCACTAATAAATTTGTTAAGTCTAAATTATTCGAGTTTTGCCATTATGAAGTAACAGATGATTACAAATTAAAGCATGTCATCTACCCAGAGCACATTAGTTTTTAAGTCTTAGATATCTGATACAAGTTCACTGAAAACATCAGTTTAATCCTCACAAAATTAATTGCGAAATCATACCATAAAGTGGTAGTTATATCACGTCTACCTTCTGTTTTTCAAGTAAGATGAGTATACCAAACTTATACTAACAGTAGAATGTGAAAATTAGGATAATATGCATCCTGTAACCATCTTTTAGTTTCAAGCCCTCGCGAAAGCTGGTTTCACTCCATCCTCCAATTGGCATGATATCTTTGACTTGTAGTACAATGATGACTTTTAACCGACGGCATAAGACATATTACTAAGCTATCTAAATACTTTGTGATAAATGTATCCGAACACTAGTTCACTCATTATCTTATATATTTTGAATGACTTAGCAGAATGTTTTACACTGTGAGACGTGATTTCTATCAAACAAAAGAAAGAATATTTTATTATAGTGGACCAGTTGACACACACATTTAATCGACTCTTTTTATCGGTAGAGTATTCATCATCAGATTCGTCATTGTTGAAAATTTCATTAATTCTATCCAGGAACTGAAACATCCTTCACATTGTATTTCACTGTCCACTCATTTTAAAGTGTCAAAACCAATATCTACTAAAAGTCCAGTGCATCAGATGTCTCATTTGATCCGATAATTACTTAAAAATTATGATATCTTAGCTTTTCAGCTTTGAAACTGATGTCTAGAGATTCTTCCAGAAATCTTCCACTATAGAGAACTGATGAAGAGATATCCATAACAAGAACTGAGTCTACCTATCAGAAAGTTTCAGCAAAAAATCGAGTGATCGTTCAAACTTTCTTTGATATCCTTAAATTGATGTAATGTGTGTTGATCACTGGTAAAGTAAGAGTTCGACTCACCTTAAGACTCAAGTCAGTAAAGTGCCAATCTATTAATTTAAAAGCTACTGGTCCAAATCTCACCATAAACTCAGATTTCATCTCACCTTAAATCATTTTCTCTTACGGGAATGAAATTATATTACTTCGTCTGACATTCTCCGACTGTTTATTTAAACTAAACACTGCAATTGATGGCAGTGAAGATTTTTTTAATGAATTTCTTGATAATAATTTGAGTTTCGTCCAGATACTGTTAACTTTTGTAGTAGCTGATGCATAACAAGTAAGAAATGATATACACTGTCACAGAATTCCTACTCATGACTTATTACTCTAACAGGTAGTAGTTAAGCATTTGAAGTGATGGTTAATTAATGACAAAATCAGAGGAAAGGTGAAGAAACTGAGATAGAATTTTACCTAACTGGAAATTTTTAGAAGAGACGATTAGTATATTCTGAATTCTACTGTGATTTGATTTGTTATCCCACAAATAAGAGAGAACCCAAAACAACGTGACTACACAAAAGGCTTCTCTATGTTAAGAAGACAGAGATAGCTAACCAACAACAACAACAACAACCACCAACGGTAGAATTCTAAAGGAAACCACCTCGTTTACTTACTCATTGTGGGAATCTACTGTACTCAGAGTAAGGAATAAGATTTGAGCAGAAAAAGGACAAACATTGGTGCAGAATAACGCAGATTCATTTCATTTTTTTTTATTCCCATCAGCTTCATACAACCTATAATCTTTAATAAATAAAAATCAGCGCAAGACTTGCCACTGTTTTGTCTATCAACAGGCAAATGATAAGAGAGTCATGGTAAGATGACAAAGTAGCTGAAATGTAAGTGTATATATACATCTTGTTGGAGAGAAGAAAGTTAAATTTTACGCTGACTTTTGTATAATAAAGATTATAGGTTGTATGTAGCTGATACGAAGCAAAGAAATAAAATGCATCCATGTTATTCTTCACCAATGTTTGTTCATTCTCTACTCAAATTTATAATGGAGAATTTTACACGCAAATGTTAAGTCATTCAGTGATTCTATATGCTATATCTCTGGACCATATTTCAGAGAGTTGGCACGCACAACACCAAAAGCATTTCCAGCAGGCTACTGTGCACTTTTATTAACAGCTACTTTTGCTCCATACTGAAGATCTGATTGCCTGTTGGAATGGATAATCAACGAGGAAGTCTGTCAACGTACCGACCAAGAAGCTATTGTCCAATAAATAGGAAGAAGGAAGTAGAGATGGACTGGTTATACACTCAGCAAACCATTGAGTGCCATCACGCACTAAACCAGCCCTCGACAGAAACCCGAATGCAAAAAGACGTGTTAGGAGCTTGAATATGACATAAAGGAGATAGTGTGACAGGCAGATGACAGCTTAAGAAAAAGGCTGCAAAGGACAGAATGAAATGGCAATGTGCTGTAGAAGTTCTATGCTCCACACGTAATCTAAGGGAATATAATAAAAGTAAATGATACAAACGGCTTTAAAACTAATATACGCACAACATTCAAATCGTGTGTAAAAAAATAAACAAGCCAAAACTTGCAGCCATAAATTAGTCTGGAAAAATAGTCAACTCACCCTAAATGATTTAACATCTTCTAAAAGTTTTAAAATTTTCAATTCTTCATACGTTCTCAGTTGTGCATGTGAACTATTCATATGTAAAACATCAATTAGATCATCTTTCGAATTTCTAACAGTAATTTTACGAAGTTCTACAGGAGTTTGCTTAAAATTTATTGATGATTTAATTCTACACAGAAAGTTGTAAAGTTGATCTTTGAATGCGTGAACTTTTAATTCTTCAGGAATAACTTTGGGATAGTTGTGACAATAATTATTTGTCTTCATTTCATTATTTTCAAGCCATTCTTTTTGAAAGGGAAATAGTGTCATTCTTGATGGAAATACCTTGTAGTTAATGTTTGACCGATAACGCTGAAATAACTGATTAAAAATGGAAGAAGTTTTACGTAAATTGTAACAGTTATTTAATTAGTGTATCAAAAAATCCCAAACATTTTTGGGAATCCACCAATTCAGAACAACGTCTCTGTAACATCATTTCTCGTAGCCACGGCAACACAAATAGTTATTGAATTTCACTTACTCATTCTTCCTTTATTTCAAGATTGATACAACTGTATTTTCTTCAGAAGACTATGCAGATTCATGGTTATCACGCATTAATAACTTTGATACAGAAATTAACCCTCTATGTCCAGATACATATGTTTAACTTCAGACCTATGGATATTCTTAGCTCTAACTAATGGTTATATTTAAATGCACGCATATTAAGAAATCAGTTCTGCCTTTTATTGAACCAATTTCATTCGTGAATTTAGCTGGATTTCAAACATGTTGACAGTTTCATCGTTTGAGACTATTTACTTGAACTTGGAACCCTCATGTGACATTTCTGATGCAGTGCTTTTGAATAGGCGACTAGAATGACGAATGTTTAACAACGTCGATATGATTATGAATAATAAATTGTACGCATTCTCAAAGCAAAATAATGAGACATAAATCGGTGTCATAAACTCTCAGAGACGAAATTAGATGACAACTTCAAATTTCAAATTATTTAATTACAAGTTTAATATTATCAGAAAATATGCTCTTGAAAGTTTTCTATACGTATGCAAATGATATAAACTACGCGAAAGTGATAACTAACGGAATTTTGGTATTACCGAGTGGATTTCGGGAGTGACAACTGAAGTTTTAAGCGAAAGAGAACACTAGCACTTGATGGGTGCAGATGGTATCATTATAACAAAGTGATGACAATGGTGTCACTGACTACTCCTCCCCAAATAAAATCAGTACAAAAGAAATCCCTTGGATTAGCAATTATAGTTTGTTTTTAACAATACAAGCTACTCGGTTTTGAGAGGACTCGTTTTACATTCAAAAAGTATTTGATATGAAATAACTAAAACGATTTTCAGTAAAACAAGCAACAAATTTAAATGAAGGAGAATTTAATGAAATTATTGAATCGCTGGACTCGTCATGTGAATAATCTACAAATAATTATATACTTGCTATTATATATATCTGGGGATATATAACTGAAAAATGAACAAAATATATTGCATAAGACGACAGGTTTGAATATTTTTCAGGTCAGGTTCAGAACCTGAGGACATGAAGGGAAATAATTGTTTGATTGCATAGAGGATTTCATCATGAGCTGACATCAGCTAGAGAACCATTGAAAAACCACCTGGGAGTACTGGACAGCTGTTTCATCCTAGTTTGGGACTCTTCAGCAGTACGCACCCACCGGAATTCGAACCCAGGACCTTCTGGTTACAAGGCGAGCTCGTAGACCATTGAGCCACTGGGTTCGAATCCCGGTGGGTGCGTACTGATGAAAAGTCACAAACTAGGACGAAACAGCTGTTCAGTACTTCGAGGTTTTCCAGTGGTTCTTTAACTGATGTCAGCTCATGATGAAATCCTACACGCAATCAAACAAAATCCCTACAAAACCAATACTTGAAAATAATTGTTTCCCAATTTTCAGTAAGTCTGTGCATCGTGCTCAAAGATTATCTGTAGCTTCTGAAAAGATTTGATTTAGCAACATCAGTATGATCCCGTTAGAAAGGATGATAGAACTTTCTATAATAAATGGTTGTATTTATCTGGTGTCCAGACGTTGATTAAAAAAATAAAATGAGAGTTTCGTTGAAATATGAATGTGGATTTTAAAAATTGCGCGTTTTAAAAGTCCAATTTATTGATACCAAATGAAGTTAGACATAGTAGCTCAATAACTTCTCCTTTAGATTATTAGCAATATACTGGTTAAAATTTTCTTCGCTGTTATTTCTTTTTAATGTTTTGAATTTTGATTGTGTAAAAAATCGCCTGTTTTAACGTGTTTAGTGGTTTATAGTATAATCAGACATGGTGGTAATTGCACTGGCAATGGCTATTCAATAACCGTATGCATTTTAATGCACTTAGCAGTTATCTATACTTATGGTCTAAGAGCTGATAATGTCGTCTCACAGCTTAAAATTTGTTATGTATTATCGAATTTGGACTCGTCATCCAACGTCACAAACCTAATATCACAAACATAGTATCAGAAAATACTGTAAAGACTACTTCTGTTTAGATAACAAGTCACTCTTAATATAACAGAATTTATTGAAGGTATAGTTTAAATTAATGTTTCAAGAATGTTTTAAACAGTATATATGTCCAAACCAAGTTCACTTTTAACAGTTTGAAAAAATTTGGGCATTGGGTATATAATATCTATTATAATTAGAGTTTTTGTATTTCCCAATGAATGAAAAACAAAACGAGATTGTTTTTACTGACGTTTCGCTATTTAATGCTAATAGCTTTATCAAAGTATTATTAAACCGAAATTTACAAAATTTCAGTATATATACAACAAAGAGTTAAGGGGTGAGAAAATAGACTTACGTCAAGTGAAAAGGACATATTGAAAGTAAAAATAGCAATGAAGATCACTAAACCAAATAACAAAGGTAACAGTACATCTGTTATGGTATCAAAACAAAGCTTACCAACCTGATCATCGTTCGTCAGTCTAGGGGCACTTTTTCGTTGTCAAGTTGGTCATTTGGTAAAGATAACAAAATCAAGTGTGGATTGTTGGATTTGATCAGTGTGTAAAATTATAAAAGTAGTGTGTGTTTACGTAGTGAAATTGCATATCACATTCGTGTTGATTTTGTCACTTCATGGGTGAGGGGGAGAAGGGAGGTGTTGTAACCAGGTCAGATTCTGTTTTAGTCCATCATTCCTATTCAGACAATTTGGATTCCACTTGATATGAAGTGCTTCTAATATTAGATGTTCTTTAAGATTTCTGAAGTTTTTCTGGATTATTTCATTATTGTCAAAATCAATTTTGTGACCTGATTCTATAGCATGTAGACCTATGGCTGATGATTTTTCAAGTTTTTCCAGTTCAATTGGATTTCTCGGTGGTCGAACAGATGCTCTACGGTGTTCATTTCTTCCAGAAAAACTTCAGAAATCTTAAAGAACATCTAATATTAGAAGCACTTCATATCAAGTGGAATCCAAATTGTCTGAATAGGAATGATGGACTAAAACAGAATCTGACCTGGTTACAACACCTCCCTTCTCCCCCTCACCCATGAAGTGACAAAATCAACACGAATGTGATATGCAATTTCACTACGTAAACACACACTACTTTTATAATTTTACACACTGATCAAATCCAACAATCCACACTTGATTTTGTTATCTTTACCAAATGACCAACTTGACAACGAAAAAGTGCCCCTAGACTGACGAACGATGATCAGGTTGGTAAGCTTTGTTTTGATACCATAACAGATGTACTGTTACCTTTGTTATTTGGTTTAGTGATCTTCATTGCTATTTTTACTTTCAATATGTCCTTTTCACTTGACGTAAGTCTATTTTCTCACCCCTTAACTCTTTGTTGTATATATACTGAAATTTTGTAAATTTCGGTTTAATAATACTTTGATAAAGCTATTAGCATTAAATAGCGAAACGTCAGTAAAAACAATCTCATTTTGTTTTTCATTCATTGGGAAATACAAAAATCTTCATTATAATGTTTTAAACATGTTTAAATTAGTAGAACAACTATTTCAGTTTGAAAATTGCTTTTCCTTCTGTCTGTTGATACACTGCATGGACTATTGTGTCATAAACATTGAAACAAGATATTTCTTATTGTATAACATTCATTACAACTTACCAATATAATCCGGTGTGATTTCGATAATACTTCCTGAAACAATTTGGAGTATGGAAGTGCTATCCTTTTAGGGCTAGGAAATTTTACAAGGAATAATGTTTCATAATATCAAATATTACTTTTCGTTTGATTGGTTTATAAGCGTTCATTGTTCACCGTTGGTTGGATAATACAATAAGTTGTCTGTTCTATGAATGGCACCAATAGATAAGGTTGATTAAAATATACTATAGTTTATTCAGTTTTATTTGCTATATAATATGTATGACAGAATTGTGCAACATACAGTGGTAGGTTCACTTGCTCAAGGACACATGCAGTTGAGTATGTGCGTCAGTATATCATTAGGTGATTGATTGTTGTAATGCTCTAATTCTTAACTTAAATCCCCATCGAGACATTTTGGGATAAAACAGAAAAAGGAACGGGTGATTCAAACAATTTCATTTATCATAGTCATTATCGCAATTATATTCACTTTCGTTCATGAATGTGTCCATTCCATATATACACACAAATTTCCAGAGATTAATGAGTACTGAGCAGGATATAACGGAAGTATAATCAAATTGAAAAATTATAGGTAGGGAGTTACGTAATAAAAGAGTCGAAACAGAAAAGATGTAATATTAAGCAATAATCTTGGGAGTTAAAATAGGTAAGAGAATTTCTAAAATGTTATAGGTGGCATAAAGTTCGGTAATTACAGATTAAGATAAGAAGAATTCCCATTTTAAGTGAATCAAGAACACGCAAGACAGCAAAGACATCTCTTTTCATAACGTATGTAAGAGTTGATAAATACCAAATAGGGAAATGTTAGAGAGACAACTAACTGTAAATCTGAATTACAATGGTGAAGTTTTCCGAAGCCGTCTGTCGGCAGCAGTCCAAAGAATATTCTTTGCTGTATCTCTGCATCTTACCTTCTTTAAATATCAAAAAGTCATAGACAAGATCCTACAGTTGGCAACTTCAGTACTTATTTTCCAATTCACTGACTCCTGTGGAGTTAAGTACATAGTCTGTACTAGTTGGAAATTCTCTAGACACTCTCATGAATACCAACAAGCATGAATGTTGAAAGAATAAAGTAGAACAATTAACAGCTCAGTTATGGAGCACATGAAAACTTCTG